GAATGAAAATAATTTCTATCCTTGTGCGATCGGTACTCACCGGAGGGACCGCAGACGTTCGAATACAATAATTAGCGTCTCTTAGCAAAGACAATGACGTCGACTTTGCTAAGTATCAAGACAATTACTCTACACACACACACACTACTACACTACCCTGACTGTACCATGCCAATAATCTTAGTTGTCGAGGCATTAACTCAATAATAAAAAAAAATAAAAAAATTAATTTTATATTTTGTTTTTATTTGTAATAATTTAGCCAAATTATGCACAGATAAATACATATAAATGATCTAATAAATATTCTTACGTACTGTATATCATTTCCGACTTTTATGAGGTTTTAATAGACAAACAGTGCAGATGTTGGGTAAAATATATAATGTTTTATATGTTTTCTTTCCTCGTTATACGGTAATTAAGACAAAAACTAATTTATCATTTGGTGTAGGTCAGTTTTTCTGATGTCAGGTGTTTTCAGATTGTACTTAATGCTATCAAAAGTTAGTGTTAATAAACGAATGTATGTAATTAAATTGTACCGTGTGCAGCCGGGGAAATAAGCAACATGGAGCTTTTTTTTTACACACACACTACATTAATAAACTTATCTTGATTGAGACTGGCTGAATGACAATTGTCCAAGCCAAAACACACAAAAAAAAACTTTCTCGACGATGGGGCATCAGTTACTTGGGATTTTTGTTTTTTTTTTGTTTTTCTGTTTGCGAGACATGCCTTTACATTTTACCTTTATTATTCACTCACATTAGTGACCTTATTAACATTATCGGTATCTTTATATCTTTTTTTTCTGGCATTGCATGTTACGGTTGTTGCTATGTTTTATATTCGTGTACAATCAGACTTATTTAATGTTTTTCATGTTTGTGCTCATACACAGAACTATATTTTATCTTATCTGTATTTTCCAAATAATTACACAAATTGATAATTCATTATATAAACTTGGTAATAAATCTAAACCTGATCTATCTGCAATCAATATCAGGGTATGTAATATTTGAGTACCCAGCATTAACGCAATAAAAAGCTTTCAACAGACTAAAGTAGTAAAACAAACAAATATAAATAATATGATTGACATATGGATAAGATGCAATCGACTCACCGAAATATACAGCTATCTAAAAATAAAAAATTTTCAGTTCAGTTGAGTAAAAATGAGGATAGCTAAATTACATTTGTTGATTTATATTTTGACAAAAATATAATTCATATATACATACAATACAATATATACAATACAATTCGTACTTTATATATACTGCTTCACATAAGAAAACGCCTTTTTGAGAAGCTACAACTTATATAACAAATATGTAACATATATGGATTACCAATAGCTTCACACCTCTTGTCCAAAAATGTCGAGACCAACAAAAAGATCTTTTCGTTGCGTTCATAGATTATGAGAAAACTTTGTACAAAGTTAAACATAACATTTTTATGGAATGTCTAAAGATAAAAGACTCGACAAAAATGACATTAACATAGTGAGAAATCTCGATTGAAACCAACAGGCTGTAGTAACATTAGATGGAAATAGCACGGATGCGCAACAGATAAGTAGAGGAGTGAGACAGGGCTGTGTACTTTCACCATTACTATTTAATTTATATTCCAAAGAGTTATTTACGCAAGCACTTGAAAACTACACAGAAGAGATCAAGATAAATGGTGAAAATATTAATAACATCCGTTATGCTGACGATACAGTCATTATCGCTGAAAGTGAGACAGACCTGCAGACTTTACTAAACACAATTTGTGATATTGGGGAACAGTTTGGTTTAACAATAGACATAAAGAAAACAAAGACCATGGTTATCAGTAAGAATGGCAAAGTCATTACAAGGATCCAAAAAATTGAGCAAGTGGACAAAATGAAATACTTGAGAGTCTAGATTACGGAGGATCTGAATCCGAAATCAGAAAGTTTCTTAAGAATAGAGCAATTAAGAGCAGCCTTTTTGAAGATGAAGAAATTCCTGAGTAACTAAAGACTCAATCTGCAAATCCGATATAGGATGGTAAAATGTTATATCCACTCTATTATTCTTTATGGTGTCGAAGCTGTTAATGTTTACTTAATGAGAAAACTGAAAGCTTTTGAGATGTGGCTTTTTAGAAGAATTTTGAAGATACCATGGACCGATCATATTACGAACTAAATGGTGTTGCACAAAATGGGAAGAGACAGAGAACTTTTGGCCACCATTAAAAGGCGAAAGACAGCATATTTGGGGCGCATACTTAGAAATGATAAGTACGGGTTGTTGCAGCTAATTATGAAGGGTAAAATCTAAGGAAAAAGAGCTCCTGGCAGACAACAAATATCCTGGCTGAAAAACATTCGCGACTGGACCGGGTTAAATACACAGACCCTCTTAAGAAAATCAGAAGATAGAGACGAATTTGCAATGGTTATGAGCAACCTTCATTAGTGGAGATGGCACTAGAAGAAGAAGATATGGATTCAATAGTCATATACATTGCTAAAAATGAATTATTTAGTGTCAAAACACATTAAATAATTCTTAATAACCATCTAAAGATGTTTTTCATTATGTTCTTCACGGAAGACGAACGGTCAGGAGTTCTCAACCCCTAAACGGCGCGTCCCAACGGCTGATACGGAAACGGATAGATATGTAGGATAGGTGTAAATAAGGTTTTACCAAATAAGCAGAAATCGCGCCACGTTTATTTATTTAACATCATCATCATCAGTGGTGCTACAGCTCTAGTTGAGCCTTGACCTTCCCCAGTCTATTTCGCCAGTCGTTTCTGTTCATCGCCAACCGTTGCCAATTTGCCGCGCCGATTTTCCTTGCGTCCTCGTCCACACCGTCCCTCCATCTCAGTCGTGGTCTGCCTCTACTCCTAGTTCCCACTGGGACCGATAATAGAGTTCGTCTGGGTGGGTAATTTTCATTTGCTCTTGACACATGTCCAGCCCATCTAAGCCTACCTATTTTTATGAAGGATATTACATCTCTACCATTTACTATTTTTTTATACTTCTCGTACAATTCGAAATTATATCGCCTTCTCCAAATACCATTCTCACAGAATGCGCCCATTATTCTTCTTAGTATCTTCCTTCGAAGACGAGCAGAAGATTTGCGTCTGTTTTGGAGATGGTCCATGTTTCTGACCCATATGTCAGCACTGATAGGATGAGTGTTCGATATATAATTAGTTTGGTTTTCTGGCTTAAATTTCTGTTTTTTAGCTGCTTGCTTAGTCCAAAATAACATTTGTTTGCTAGCAGTACCCTCCGTTTAACTTCTTCAGATGTGTCATTATCGTTTGTTATGAGAGAACCCAAATAACTTATTTACTACCTCAAAATTATATTGGTCTATACTGAAGTTTTGTTCGGCGTTTCTAGCTCTATCTCTGTTATTTGGAATAGCTGCTAACATTTTGGTTTTTTCCTCGTTTATTTTAAGGCCCATAATTTGTGCGGCTGTCAAGAAGGTGGAAGTCATCTCTTTAAGTCCTCGTGTAGTACGTGCGATCAAATCCAGATCGTCAGCGTAAGCCATAATCTGCGTTGATTTATTAAAGATTGTTCCCCTATTGTGTAACTCGGCATCTCTTATAGTCTTTTCTAACGCTATATTAAAGAGAAGGCACGCCAGCGCGTCTCCCTGCCGTAACCCTGCATATGTTTCAAACGCTTGTGACATATCGCCTTTTATTTGCACTCTGCAGATCACTTTACTCATAGTTGTTTTTACGAGCCTTATTAATTTATGGGGAATGTTAAGTTCATTCATGGCTTCGTAAAATTTACCTCTTAGGACGCTATCATACGCTGACTTAAAGTCCACAAAGAGATGGAACGTGTCAATATCAAATTCATTGGTTTTTTCTAAGATTTGACGTAGCACAAAAATCTGGTCAACTGTTGACCTACCTGGCCTAAAACCGCTTTGATACTCACCAAGGATTTTTTCCACGTACGTACTTAAACGGCTGTACAGGGTGTTGGAGAATATTTTGTACATTGTATTCAGAAGAGTTATACCCCTATAATTTTTACATTCCAACAAATCTCCCTTTTTGTGCAGTGGACATATGATTCCAGTGCACCATTCCTCTGGCATTTGTTCTTCTTCCCAGACTTTGACTATTATGTTGTGAATTTGGTGCATAATGCTGTTACCTCCATGTTTGATGAGCTCTGCGGGGATACAATCCACTCCTGGGGACTTGCTATTTTTGAGTCGTGTGATTGCGTCTTTCACTTCAAATATTAAAGGAGGTTCTACGTGAGTGTTATTTCTTGGTCTTTGGGGTGACGCATCATTTTCCACTTCGGTACCAAGTAGTTCTTTGAAGTGCTCAATTATTTATTTAACACCTTTAAAAAAACTTTATTTTATTAACGCGCAAAATACAAAAACGACATACGAAAGCTCCATTTTTACCTTTAAAACGCATCTTGACTTTTGTCGATACAAGACTTGAATAAAAAGATATCGAATTTTTACCGTCGATCTGATACAAATTTTATTGAACATTGATTTCGCACACGTCTGACATTTAAAATCGACGGTCGCTTCAAGCGTTGTTTCTGGCAGAACGTTTCATTCAACACAAAAAGTTCTAAAAAACATTTTTGTTTAAAATTATCTTAGCTACATTTTTTATTTTATCTAACATTTTTTTCTACGACGTACAGATTCTTGGTAAGTCGATTTTTTTGTTTGCCCCCCCCCCCTCCCTACGAGGAGGGTTTTTGGAGAAACACCGGGGTTAAAAGTGGTAAACTTTTTTGCATCTTGTTTGGGGTCTCAAAATTAATATTCTCAGCAAAATTTAGCTTGTTCGTATGGTTTTTAGGGGTCAACTCTCTGACGACTGGACTAATCAAGAGTTTTCCAAAATTGCATAATATTGTGCTTAAGAAGCCCGACGAACTATATACTATATAATGTACTACAATAAAATAATTGTTTCAGATCGGGAAGCTATCAGGTGCGAGCAAGTTTACCTTCAGAAAAACAACAGACGTTGCTGAACCACATTACGCCTCATTCCGGCGTCATTTTGGAACCCACTACTGCCGGAAAACCTCAACTACCATCTGGTAATACTCCAACTACCACAGCGAGTGGTACTTTAGAAAAGAAGCCGAGTCTCACAAAATCGTTTAAAGGGGCAACTATCACTAGTGTCTCTGGTAAGTCTTTATTTGAATAGTTTTTAAACTGTATCCTTTACCTGTACTGGTCCTGTAACCTGTATGTCAAATTGAAGCTTTAATTGTTTTTTGTTGAGCCAACTGTATTGTATATACAGATAACGACATTGTTTTGTTGGTCATAGGAATTAAGATTTATTGCAATCCCATCTCTAGAGTATATTTATGAGAATGCTCTAAAACAATTTTTTTTTATTATTATTTTTTAGCCTTAATAGCAATACAAATAAATAAGTAAGTAAATAAATAATATGCTTTATTGTCACTGAAAATTGTACAAATTTTATGGAAAAAGCTTATGACAATAAGACAAGAAAGAAGAAAAAAAATCAGAATAAGAATCGTTTGTACTTTTAAATAAAAAACAATAAAATTCTTCCAAACTTAAAAATAAAAAATACTATCTAATTAAGAACCTACAAACTTCGTAAAATCTACTTAACAAAAAATAAAAATTAGGAAACCAGATTAATGAATTAAGGGCTTAAATATTCCACCTAATTGTGCTAAACAGTAACCAAATCTGTCATACAGATTTCTCCTCATATTTTGGAGTAGGGCTGGTGTAATGCTTGCAGAGAAATGAAGTATTTTTGCTTTTTTTACTTATGCCTATAAATGTTTTCTTTGAGAAAACCCCAAAAAAAGAAATCGTTAGGCGCTAAGTCACAGGATCTAGCGGGCCATTTAATTATACCGCATGTACTTATCAGTCGATCAGGAAACGTTTGATTGAGGAAGTCAATAGTTGCTCTAGAGTTGAGAGCCGAACACCAATCCTGTTGAAAATAAACCTCCTGAAAATTAACGAGAAGGCGTCGAACTGCCGGAATGATCTCATTCTGTAAAAGTTGTAAATATTTGGGCCCGTTTAGGTTTCCATCGATCAAAAAATGGACCGACAATATGGTCGCTTAACATCCCAGTCCAAACATTTAGCTTTTGCGGGTGCTGCGTTCGCCCTGCAACACTAAGGTGCTTATTTTTCCGAAAATAATACCTTGCAACGGATGCATTGTGTTTTTTATATAATCAAAATGAAGATTCGTCAGAAAATAAAATATTTTTTAAAAAGTCTACATTTTCATTCTGTTTATCTAACATAAATTCACAAAACTCCATCCTCCTAAATTTATCTTCCGGAAACAGTTCTTGTGTTGGTTGGATCTTAAAACAGTGATACCCATTCCCTTTGAGAACTCGCTGGACAGTTCGAGCATTCACGTTAACTTCCCTAGCAACACTACTGCAGGGTTCCATAGCTTCCACAAAAGCACAAATATCAATATCTCTGTTTTGACGCTCCTCATCGACAAGTCTAACACATGGTTCATTACCTTCATGACACTTTTTACAACTGTTTACACATCCCGAAGTTTGAAAATATTTAATGGTATTTTTAACTTTTGTAACACTTGGTGTGGGTCTATTTTCGAAGGCAACAATAAATTAATTAATTACTTCGTGTATCGAATGACCCTGAAAACTTGGACGGTATAGAACGTAATAGGCATTTTATTAATTATTTGTTTACTCTTTCAGAACTTCGTCTGAAAGTTTTAATGTCAATGTGATAATTACGACAATTCGTACCTACTGTGAAATGAATATAGAGGTGGAAACGTGTAACATGTCACAGCAATTGGCGTTGTATTGTACGGTTAATAAAATAATGTCGTGATCTGTATAAGGGATTAAACCACAGTGAAACATTTTGCAAAAGGCAAAATTCGAGGCGCGAGACTATCTTACAAATGGGTTTAATATATTCAAATAAATCAATATCCAGAATGAAGTGCATGAAAATATCTTGTTTCTTTTAGGGAGCGAAAGGGGAGGATGTCTGAATGCGGCAACGGCATATAATTTATTTCTATTTGAAATTGAAGTTGTTTTTTGGTAGATGATTGTGCGCTTTTCATGATGTATGTGGTGCTGTTTACTAAAACCTCTACAGAATAAGTTAGAATACTTACATTCCCTTCTCAGATTGGAAGGGAAAATGAGGATCTCACCTGATTTTTAGAACTGCTTAATCCTTTTGATGCCTTTAGGACAATACGTCCCATCAAAAATTAAAAAAATTCTATTGTAATATTACAATAGTGACAATTTTGAAGATCCAAACTATATAGATGTTGGTTGTTTCTGACCAACATCTATATAGTTTGGATCTTCAAAATTGTCACTATTGTAATATTACAATAGAATTTTTTTAATTTTTGATGGGACGTATTGTCCTAAAGGCGTCAAAAGGATTAAGCAATAAGGCTCGCAACGCCTACAACATGCTTAACAACATATGGAAATCCAGGATTTTCCCAACTAAAACGAAATTAAAAATTTTCAACACAAATGTAAAAGCTGTATTACTGTATGGCTGCGAAACTTGGAAGATATCAGCACCCATAGTACACCAATTACAAGTTTTCATCAATAGAGCGTTACGAAAAATCCTTCGTATATTTTGGCCTAACCGAATCTTCAATGAAAATTTATGGAACCAAAGCAACCAAGAAAATGTCATAAAGCAAATAAGGCGAAGAAAATGGAGATGGCTGGGTCACACACTCCGTAGACCGCCAAATGACATTGCCAGAACAGCGCTGGATTGGAATCCCCAAGGCCGACGGAAAGTAGGCAGACCTAAGGGAACTTGGAGAAGGACAGTACTGGACGAAGGAAGAAAAATGGGAAAATCCTGGCTTGAAATCAAAGCACTAGCCAGAAATAGAGTTCGCTGGAGACACTTTGTGGAAGCCCTATGTTCCTCTTAGGAATCTTGGGACTATATATATATAAACTATATAGATAGTGAAATTTCTATTGTTCGATATCGTTCTGGCAGCGATTCTGAAGAATCAGATTTAAAAATCATTAAATCTGATTATGAGATAAATAATCAAGAAACTTTAGAATGTGAAGGTAAGGAAAATAATGAAGAAATGATAGATACATTAATTGAAAATATTAATGAAAAACCAGACAATAAAGGTGAAAATGTAGAACAAAGTTCCAAACCATTTTGAACCCAGATTTCAACCATTCCTCCGTTACAAGTCTTCAAGAAGATATTTCCGCCAAGTTTAATGCTGTTTATTGTGGATTGTACCAAAGAGAGAATAGATCTCTACAGTAGAGAGAAGACAGCACAACGAGAAACACAATACACAGATGTTGGAGAAATATGACATAATGTCTCCCCCTTCAAATATAAAAATTGCAAGTTCAAAAGTTATTTAACATATATATATATATATATATATATATATATATATATATATATTGCATTTATAATAAAACTTGCCACTGACATCATTAAAAAGAAGTGGAATGACATAAAAGAATACACTAACATCCCATTGGAAGAATTCCAATCATCTGTAGAGTTAACGTTAAACTCAACATACTTTTTATATAAGCACGAAATATACCAACAAATGGATGGATGCGCAATGGGTGCAAGCATATCTAGTGTCATTGCCCAACTGGTTCTGGAAGACTTAGAAGAATCTGTCATGAGTCATTTAGATTTTAATGTACCATTCTTCTACCGCTATATCGATGACTGTGTCTGTACTATTCCAACAAATAAAACAACCGAAATCTTAGATATTTTCAACAGTTACCATCCAAAATTAAAGTTCACTATAGAAATTGAACAAAATAATAAAATAAACTTTCTGGATATCACCTTACATCGCATTAACAATACAGTTAAAACCATGTGGTTTACAAAAGAAACATGGTATTCACGATATCTTAACTACAATTCCCACCATCCATTTTCCCATAAGAAGTCTGTAATTATAAGTCTCGCTGATAAATCTGTAAAACTAACAGGTCCAGAATACAGACCAACTGCAATAAAAAAAAGCAAAAAATGCCCTTCTAAAGAATGCATATCCCGAACATCTAATCGAAACTATTTTCAAATCAAGACTCAATAAATTTTATAACAATACAACTAACAACAAACCCAACAGTATCAAAACCACTTATACAACTCTTCCATATATAAAAGGTTTATCCGAACAATTAACAAATCTTTTAGCCAAACATAATATAACAGTGGCCCAAAAAGGCAACAACCTCTTAAATAAATACTTCACAAAACTAAAAACACAAACTCCAAAACTTAAAAAATCACATGTTGTTTACGAGATACCATGTACAAACTGTGAAGGTGTCTATATCGGTCAAACCAGTCAACTGCTTCAATCCAGAATTCGTTCTCACAAATACGACAAGAACAACGTCACTGCGCTCACAAAACATGAAAGCGGGAAGAAGCATAAATTTGACTTTGAAAACATCAAAATTTTAAAAACAGAAAAAAACAAAAAGAAGAGGGAGATATACGAATCAATAGAAATAAAAAGAAACACCAACGCAATAAATGACAAAAAAGGTACACAAAACCTAAATAAAATATATTTCAATCTGATTAAAACAATAATAATACAACATCATAAAAAGCTCTTAAAGTCATAACATATCTCCACCTTACCTTTTTCAAAAACATCAACGATACGCCCATATAAAAATAATTATATACTAATGACAGTAAACAATGAGATATCAGATATCAACTTTTATATGTCAGTTCGTTAATGTCTGTGTCACGTTTTACGTTTTGGTAAGTCACATATATATACATATTTTACAATATCTGTTTGTCCTTATATATACACACATTTTAGAATCTTGACAAAGGTAAGGGTTTCCTGCCGAAACGTTGATTGATTGCAATGGAAAATAAAATCTAGTTCCACATGTAACATATCTTTCTTGAACCTAAACCCAAGAAACATTAATTATATATATATATATATATATATATATATATATATATATATATATATATATATATATATATATATAATTATAGTTACCTAACAGTTATACATAAGTATGTATAACTGTTTGCTTAAGTCATTAACAAAAACGAAAAGACGTTGCTCTATATACAAACATTTAATTACCAGTTCACAAACGATAAATATTTTTGGAAACTCTACCAACACGCGACAGCTTAAAATAAAAATAATTAACTTCTTCCCTTCACAAATATTTTTTTCATTTCCGACGTAAATATATGTTAAGAATGACATACCTACCAGCAGCAGTTAATTTTACAAAGCGATTGATGTTTAAAAATAAACACCGTAGGATTTTTTATATGTCGTAGATTGTATCTGTAAGTAAAACTACTATAGAAATACATTTCCTCTAGAGCAAAGCTTCCCAAACTTATTCGTACTGTGACGCCCTTGGGACTTTGCTATTTTTTTGCGACGCCTCCTCAACCCAACCCCAATAATACTTACCAATTTTAGTACTAGCCTAGTAACAGATTATAGTTATAGCAAAAACACTATTTGAACATTTATATTTTTTATTAGAAATTAAGAATGAAATCAAAGATGAAAAGGGATATTTATTTATGTAACTGGCTGGTTAATATGAGGGATGTGCTTGCTTTTTTGAGCACAGCTTATGAAACCGGGGCTTCAATTGAAAAATTGCCACTCTCATTTCTTTTTCTAAGGTTATGTTTGACTTGTATTTGTACGCAACTGCAGAAAAGCCCGTTTCCAACAAGTACGAAGTCGCAAATGGTAATTAAACCTTTAGTGCAGCAGTGCTGATAGCATGATATTCATGCAAACAGTTTGTCGTTGTCCTTGTCATATTGAAGCTTTATGGAATCACAGGACAATTCTGTCAGTTGTTCTTCTTCCTCTGTTGAAAGTGATGATGAAGTCGATGGCGTGGATGACAGGGAAGGGTTTCTGGTCCAGTCATATTACTCCATATATTCGGGAAAATATTTCTCAAAGTGTTCGCTCTCAATGATAACATGTGTTGTGTAAACATATTTATTTAAGAGGGATCAAAGATCAACTTTAAAAAACTGGCTTAAGAACACAAATGTAATTTTTCACATTGATTTCAAAAATGTACACCTGTTTGTTGTATTTCATACTGTGTTATGAGTGTAAATTAAAATAAGCTAGCAAACTATACATATGCTTTTGGCAGACCCTCGTAATATGCCTCCATTACGTGAATCAAATTTAACGCGGTAATTTGATTCACTCGATCAAGGCGTATAACGAAGTTTCGGCAATTTTTTTTCCTGGACCTCCCCAAACGTACTTTAAAATATGTCTGGACCCAAAATTAGTTGCGGAGTTAGAGTGTAAAATACATACAGCATGTCTCAAAGTTGGCGCTCGTCCTTCCGAATATGAATCGGCAGACTTAAACCAATTAAATCAAAATCAAAATAATTAAAAATTGTGTGGATTCCGATAGAGACATCGATAAGAGAATGTCTTGTGTCTCTGCTTTATAAATAACCTGTATACTATCATATATTCAAAAAATAATAAAAACAGAATTCCTCAAGAATGGAGATCAAGCATCCTATTACCTCTCTTCAAAAAGGGAGACAAATCGGACCCGGAAAATTACAGAGGAATTAATTTATTAAACACAACACTAAAATTAGCAACCAAAGTAATAACAAATAAACTGAATATAATTATAACACTAGCAGAAGAACAACAAGGTTTTAGGTCGGGAAGATCATGCACCGATGCTATATTTATAATTATACAAGTGCAAGAGAAATTATTAGAATACAACCAACCGGCATAACTATGTTTCATGGACCTTAAGAAGGCATTTGACCGAGTCAAGTTAAAGGAAGTGATACACTTATTCTACGCAAAAGAGATACTTCTAGAGAGGAATCAAAATGATCCAAAATATCTACCAAAACAACACAATAAAAGTAAAAGTAGAAGAAGAACTAACCGTCTCTATTAACGCTGGCAATGGGATAAGACAGGGAGATTCCCTAAGTCCTCTACTGTTCAACCTGATTATGGATGAAATAATAAAAAAATAAGAACTAAAAAGGATACCAAATGGGAGAAAAACGGCTTAAAATAATCTGCTATGCAGACGACGAAATACTACTCTCTCAAATTGAAGATGATTTACAACGTATGCTGCAACAATTTAATATAAACGCCAGAAAATTTCTCCAATAAAGCCAAAATGTATGGTTAAAACAGCAAATTTACTAAGATGTAAATTGGAACTGGAAGGTCAGATAATAGAACGAGTGATGGAGTTTAAATATTAGGCATCACATTATCTATCTACGTAAATCTCGAATGAATCTCGGAATGAAACTCGAAATGAAAGATCAAGTGAATATATAGTAGTGTATATTGAAAACTAATTAACATCGTTAAAAAAATGAGTTGCCTTATTAATTAATGTAAGTAATTTTCATTAGTAGTTCATCAGTAAATTTGATTTTAGGTGACTCGAAGGTAGGGAAAGGAAGAATGAAAAAGTAGTAGTAGAATACGGACTGGAAACACCTAATGAAAGAAGTGGAAGACTAGTTCAGTTTTGGAAAGATAACGAACTCATTATCAAAAACACGTGGTATAAACTCCCAAATCGAAGAATATATACATGGAAAGCAGGTAGAGATGATGGTGAAATTATAATAAGAAACCAAATAGATTACATAATATTAAATCAAAGATTCCGAAATGCCATAATATCGGCTAAAGTGTACCCAGTAGCAGATGTAACAAGTGACCACGATCTACTTTTAGCAAACATGAAACTCAAGTTAAAAAAGTTAAAAACAACTGCCAAAACACCGAGAATCAACCGGAGAAAACTAAAAGATGCTGATATATACCAACAAATCAAAGAACAAATCCACAAAGAAGTTCAGGAATTAGAAAGGCAAAAGCAATCGACAGCAACAGATAAGTGGAGGAAAGTAGAGGAGATCTTAAGAAATAGCACAAAATAAAAACTTTAAGAAGATAGATCATCTAAAAATAAATAATGGATCATACAAGAGATAAAAGAACTGATGACGGAAAGAAGGGCACACAAGAATAAAACGAACAACAATACAAAAAATTAATAAAACAATAAAACAGAAAATCAAATAAGCTAAGGAACTGTGGCTATCAGAAAAGTGTGAAGAAATAGAAAGGTTAGATAAACAACATGACAGTTTTAACATACACCGGAAAATCAAAGAGATAGCTGGCATATACAAGAAGAAGGATATTGGAAATATGATGAATAAAAATAACAAGATAATAACGGAATGTACAAATAGAATAAACAGATGGAAAGAATACATAAAAGAGTTATTCGAAGACGACGAAAAAATTGAGGTCATTGAAGCAAAAGGAAGAAATGGGCCACCAATCACCAAAGACGAAATTGAGAAAGCGCTAAAACGTATAAAAATGAAAAGGCCGTGGGACCAGATGAAATACCTACAGAAATCTTAAGAATATTAACAAAAAATCAGATGGGCACACTAATAGAATTATTTAATGACATTTATTATACGGGAGAGATGCCGAAAGAATGGTTAATATTAATATTCATTTCAATACCCAAAAACCAAACGCAATGAAGTGTGGAGAACACAAAACAATTAACTTGATGAACCATATTCTAAAAGTGTACTTACGAGTGATACACGAACGTATCTATAAAAAGATGGATGATAGAATTGCTGAAAACCAATTGGGATTCAGAAAAGGCTTTGGCACCAGAGAAACATTATTTACTGTACAAATACTAATCGAACGATGTTAAGATGTCAATTGCGACGTATTCATATGCCTACTCGACTTTGAAAAAGCTTTCGAGAAAGTACAACACCGAAGAATATCAAAAATACTGCAGAACATAGAATTAGATGACGAAGACGTGAGAATTATTGCTAATCTATACCGATATCAGAAAGCCATAATACGAATAGACCAACAAAAATCGAAAGAAATACCTATAAATCGTGGAGTAAGACAAGGATGTGTGCTGTTCCGTTTACTTTTAAATATGTATTCAGAATTATTTAAAGATGCATAAAAAGACGTAAATGAAGGCATATTTAATAACGGAGCACTTCTGTATAATCTTAGTTACGCAGATGATGCAATACTCCTTGCGGACAGCAGAGAAGGACTACAGATCTTGGTTGATCGTATTACCCAATACTACGAAAGGTATGGAATGGCACTGAATACAAATAAAATTATAGTGGTAAGCAAGAATAAGATTAAGGAAGACAGTTTTTATGCTAAAGGAAAACTTTTAGGCAGGGTACACAGATATCAGTACCTGGGTTGCGAACTAAATGAAGAATGAGATAGAAGAAAGAATATAATATTTTCCAAACCTATAACATAGACCACCTACAACGTATATGCCAAAATAGAAGAATAATTAACTGCTTTAACAAAAACAATACAACCAACAAACATCATATTCTGCTCTAGACTATCAAACATGTATGGGTATGCATAGAAATAGAAAACTATCAAATAGTTGAAAAGTATAAGAGTCACAAGCCCCAGTTAACGATTAGTACTCTCCAACGTTTGTCCTTCAATCTGACATTCAATCCTAATTTCTGCATTATCTGCAGAAAATTTAACAGTCAAGAATCCAAAATAAAAGTGGGCATTGCTTATCTGTCGATATGGAATGATGGATCCTCTAAGGGATGATGGATATTTTAAAAATTATGTTCTTTGTACTGGAATATTTAATAATGTATAGTTTTGAATTTATATAATAAGTTTACAAGTTAAAAATATAAATGCATTCATTGGTTTCATCCGGCACGGTATCCAATCGTTTTATTAAGTTCTGCTTTTAACACTTCGCTAAAATAATATAATATTCCGCTATAATACTACTTCACTGTTTTATAATTCATTTATATTTTAAATTTCGTTTCAGATTCAATGTCTTTAAGTTCGCCTCCAGGAAATCAAAGTCCAAAGGATTTTGATAAGTTATTTGACAGTAATGTTCCAAAAGAGGTGTCTGATCTGTCAGAAAACCTCCAAAGTTTGATTATGGGAAAAGTGGCTCATACTAAAACTGTTCTGAAAAGTAGGAAAATCGTTATTTATATCTGTGCTGCTGATTCACAAGGTAAGTAAGAGTGTATTATCTTTTTGTTAATAATTTGCTGATATGTGAGTTCCTTCATAAGTTTCAAGTAAAACTTATTGGCGCCCATTTAGTTTTACAGTTTAGCTGTATTCGGTGTTTTTTTTTTCTTTGTCAAACTGTAATACTTTGTTATCTATTTATCGTCTATCATTTATCTATATGTGTTAACTCTACACTTTTCTACCATCTATATCCTTACCAATCAATAGCAATAATCGCAAAGATATTCAACAATATATACAACTCTGGAGAAATACTAACGGAATGGCTGAAATCTGTGTTTATTGCACTTCCAAAAAAACCAGGAGCCAAAAAAGCATGAGTCATCCCCTAAAATTGTTCCTACATATAATTCATAAGAGAAAGTCAAATTTCCCCTAACCAGTTCGGGTTCACAAATGCTGTTGGTACTAGACAGGCTTTGTTCTCAGTACAAGTCTTATTCCAGACCAGTTTCTGAACCCAAACTGACTATCATCTATTCCTTCTTCCAGTTTTTTATTTATACGACCATGTATTATTTTCAGGAATAATTTGAGAATGTGACTTATTAGTGATATTGTTCTGTATTCACTGCAATATTTAGCTTAGCTTATATTTTTAGGGATAGCACAAAAGGTGGAGAATAACCATTGTTTTGGTATGTGTCCTGTTTTGTATATTGAGTTAAATAAGTCTACTATAATGTCTAAGGTCTCATCATTCATGCATTTTAAGATTTCATAGGGATTTCGTCTGGACCTATTGCTTTACCATTTTTGCTGTTTTTTAATGCCATTTTAATTTCCTCTTTTAATATCTTTAAAACCATATCCTGTTCCCTGTTCTACTTCTATCTCCATCTATTCTGTTCTATTGTCTTTGAATAGTTCATTGATGTATTCTGTCTATCTCTATAATTTGTCGTTAGTATTCAACACAAGTTTCCCATTTACATCTTTCAGTATTCCCGGTTTTCTTGTTCTATTGTTGTGAGTTATTTCTTTAATTTTTTTATGTGTGTTAAAACTATCATGTCTTTTCTGGTATTCTTCTATTTCTGCGCATTGTTCTTTAAGCCATTGTTCTTTCGCTTTCTTAATTCTGTATTTTATTTGTTTATCCACTTTTTTGTACATCTGATTATTTTTGTTTTTATATTGATGTCTTTCTTCCATGAAATCTAAAATTTCTTCCGTCATCCATTGCTGCTTTTTATATCTGGTTTGTATTAGAATTTCGTTCTGACTTTTATCTATTTCTGTCCTTATTAATAACTATTTTTCTCCATCTCAATATTTTGCAAAATTTTTTCTTTAACATTCATTAATCCGTTGTTGATTGCATCTGCCAGGCGTTGCCTTATTAGTGGGTCCTTAATTTACTTGTTCTTTCGCTTTCTTAGTTCTGTATTTTACTTGTTTATCCACTTTTTTGTACATCTGATTATCTTTGTTCTTATATTGACGTCTTTCTTCCATTAAATCTAAAATTTCTTCCGTCATCCATTGCTTCTTTTTATATCCGGTTTGTATTAGAATTTCTTTCTGACTTCTATCTATTTCTGTCTTTATTAATAACCATTTTTTTTTCTCCGTCTCAATATTTTGCAGAATTTGTTTTTTAACATTCATTAATCCGTTGTTAATTTCATCTGCCAGGCGTTGCCTTATGAGTGGGTTCCTTAATTTACTTGTATCGATTTTTGCATTTGTTGTTCTTCGCTTTATTATTATCATTTGGAGCCTAATTTTGGTCACTACTGGGTTATGATCTGATCCTATGTCGGCAGTTGGATAGGATTTTGCGGATATAATTGCGTTCCTGTATGTTTGTCTAACAATGTTATGGAAAAAGCAATTAGCTTTTTGTCTATTTGCTGCCCTCGAACCACAAATTCTAACTAACCAAAATAGTGCCGATGAAGATATTGGAGTAATTGTTGATAATTTTAACCAGAATCAGTTGTGTTCAGACGCTGAAGCTGTTTTGAATCAGAGAGAAAGTGAAATAATAATCGATGATAAAAATGTATATTCCATTATAGAATTTGTCGTGACCGAACTTTCTTCTGATATTGCGCCAGGTGATTTTCCAGCTCAGGATGTGTCTCCTAATTCTGATGTTTAACAACATGAGACTTCTTTTTTAATTTTTCCCATTATGAGTTAGCTGTTTTTGTCTTCCACAGCACTCTATTTTCCCAGTCATCTTCTCTGAAGTCTCTATCTATTATAGTATTTTCTATGTAATTTTTCCATCTTGTAGCAGCTCTCTCTCTCTCTCTCTTTCTCTCTCTCTCCGTCTTCTTCCCGGCGGGTCCCAGTGCAATATTCTTTTCGGCCACCTATGCTCTAAGAGTGCTATGTACCAGAGATTTAAAACTGGAACTAAGAGTTAGCTTGGCGAGGTGCTATGTTTTTTCGACTTTATTTTATAGAATGGAATCTTGGACCTTGAATGCGATATAAATGAAAAAACTAGAATCATTCGAGCTGTGGGTGTATAGAAGAATTCTGAAAATATCATGGACAGAACACATCACAAACAAAGAGGTTCTGAGAAGGATGAATAAAGAAATGGAAATTTTAAATACAATTAAAACAAGAAAATTAGAATATCTCAAAAGTATTACACGTGAAGAGAAATACACCTTGCTCCAATCGATTACGCAGGAAAAGATCCAAGGAAAGACAAACATAGAGAGGCGTAGAATATCATGACTGCGCAACCTGAGAGAATGGTACGGATGTACATCAAATGAACTTTTCAGAGCAGCCGTCTCAAAAGCTCCACAGCGGAGATGTCACTTGAAAAAGAAGTACCACTGCAGGGCTCTGTTTTCCATTTTTTTTGTAATTGAGCATTCTACTTCCATTCTGTTCCATATTTCCTCTGTTCTTATTCTTTCCGCTTTGTTGATTTGTATACATCTTCTCATAAAGTCCAGTTCAACTGTTCTTATTTTAAGTATTGATGTTGTGATTGGCCATACTTCCGCTCCATATAGGGAAATATTTATCACTATGCACTGAAAGATCTTTTTTTTTGTTTGCTTTGGTTAGAGTGTTGGTTTGTTTGTATTATTCTACGGTGTGCTTTCATGGCTTGGTTTTCCCGTGCTATTGACGAAAGCAAAATTAAGTTGTTTGCTTTAATATGTGCCTTCTATAAATTGCAAGGCAAAACAGACGATGCTAAAGGTGTAAGAGAGACCTATGGAAAATCTAAAAGTTGCATTCCACATTATATCTCCTTATCTAAGCAAAAATCCTTGGCCAACTGGTTTCTTGTACTTATAAAGAGTAAAGCAAAATAAATGACAGTTAAGATTTGAGTCAAAGATTTTTGCTTAGATGAGGAGATATGTTGTGGAACTTTTAGATTCTCCATATCTATATTACAACTTTAGCATCGTCAATATTACTTTGTAATTTATAGAAGTTACAGATTAAAGCAAAAATCTGAATTTTGGTTTCGTCGATAGAAATCTTCGCATTTCTACTTTCGTGATTCATTATTAGATGTCGCTATAGCGTCCATATTAAAGTTATTTTATTGTTGCTTCTTTTGGCGGAAATATTTGTTTTCACGTTTACAGCTTCTGTACCGGGCGCTCTGATGATTCCCGGTAGGATGAAATACGTATAAGCGAATATACAGAGGCAATATACGTTAAAACAAATCTTAACTGTCTTTTCTTTTATTTCAGAAAAACTTCACCTATCAAAGAGAAGTGCAAATGCTAAAAGTCAAAACAAATAATTCTTAATTAAATTATGTTAAAAGCTGTTACATTTAACTACTACCATTATGTTTATTAAATATCTGGCATCATGTTGATACACGATTTTGAATAGTAGTATTGATGTTGTTCTTAAAATATTCATATCCCTGCCAAGAACACGTCAAAAATCTTAAAATGTTTGTTTTTTTATTAAACTTTTCTAGTAATTAGTTATCCCATACTGTTGATAGCTACTCAATTTATTTTAAAATATTTAAATTATTTTTTAGATTGTAATGTTGAGAAAGGAGCACTACACAATACTATTTACCCCGAATTAAGAGCAAACTGTAGATCAAGGGGTTACGAGTTACACATCGTAGATCTGCATTGGAAAACTCTTCTAGAAAAACAGCAGGACCACGAATTTCCAGAGTTGTGTATAGGAGAACTAACAAGTAATATAACCAAGAACAAATAATTTTTAGATCTTGAATATTCTAGATTTTTTTTTATTTAAAATTCACGTGTCTCGACAGCTTATGGTCATTGAGACGGGTACAGTTTACAACATTATACGTATTTTATATACAAACATTTGATATGAACAATTTTTTTGTAGAGAAGTTGAACAATAAAACTTGTCACTGTGTCACTATAATATGTTTATATTCTTCTTCTTTGGGTGCCGTCTTCAATGAAGGTTGGCGATAACCTCAGCAAAATCATTTCTGTCCCTGGCTTTTCTTATTAAAGATTGAGAATCCAAACCAGTCCACTCACGAATGTTCTTCAACTAGGACGCCTGCCGTCTACCAGGACCACGTTGTCCTTCTACCTTCCCCTCTATAAGAAGCTGCAGTAGCTGGTATTTCTCATTTCTGTATATGTGTCCCAAATATGAGGTTTTCCGTGTTTTCATTATTTTTAAGAGTTCTCTGTTGGTACCCATCTTGTGTAGGACCTGCTCGTTGCTCATATGCGCTGTCCAGGGGACTTTCAGCATCCTTCGAAATAACCACATTTCAAAACTTTCCAAACGCCTGAGTGAGTTGATTTTGAAGGTCCAGGCCTCCATTCCATATAGTAAGGTGCTGTAAATGTAACATTTCAGCATTCGGTATCGGATTTTGAGATTGAGTGTTTGGGACGTAAACATTTGTTTCATTTTTAAAAAGACATTTCTTGCTTGTTCAATTCGCGATTTTATTTCTATGTCTGGATCTATATCTTTCGTTATCCAGCACCCTAGATATCGAAATTTCTCGACATTTTCGATAATGTTACCATTCACGTTTAAAGCCATGGGTGGATGGAGGGATGTTTTGGAGACAATCATTGTTTTTGTTTTCTTGACGTTAATGCTGAGGCCGTATTGTTCTCCGATCGATCTGAAGCGATTTAAGAGTGTCTGGAGATCCTGTGCGGTCTCTGCAATTAGGACCGTGTCGTCGGCGTATCGTACATTATTTAGAACTCTGCCGTTAATTTTAACATGTTTATATTTATACATGTTTATATTAGCTGACTTAAACATGTTTCTTTTAAAAATTTAAGAACACTGTCGAAACTGTTTGGAACACTTGGAATGTCTCCTAGATTTCCCTTTAAGGTTGTATCTGTTTTTAGAAGAATCGTGCTGGCAGCAGTCCATTATCACGTGTTTGATGGAAAGAGGGGTATTACACTAGTGGCATACTGGAAGGTTTTCTGATGCCATAAGGTATCCATGGGTGAGACATATATGCCCTATTCATAGTCAGAGAATAACTGATTTTTCTTTCCTGTTCATAGAGGACATATTGACGCAAGATAAGTTAAGGAAAGGTTGATGGAATCTAATAAAGGAGATAATATTTGTGGTAATGTGAGTGATGCGTTTGCTGGGGGAGGTTCTATAAGATTTATTAGATTTATTACCGGGTTACTTGGATTTGCTGATATTCTTACACAGTATGAAAGTAGAAGTTGCTGCCTTCTTAGACGGAGTGGTGGCTCTGAAGATTCAACACAAACACTTTTAGCGGGGCTTTAGTAAGGAGCTAATAGATGCCATATAAAGAATACTGCCATAGTCTAGCTTAGAGCGAATTACCGCTCTATATATGTTTTAAAGAGAGATTCATCAGCTCCCCAAGAGTAGCCAGCAAGAGATTTAAGTAAATTGATTTTTTGGACACAATCTCCTATAATTTCTTAAATATACTGTCTCCAAATAGGCTTTTTATCGAAGGAGATACCAAGTCACCAAGTGTTAAATAGTTAACTTTTTGTAAACAAATTCCGTTTAGAGTTATAAAAGGTAGACTAGGTCTATGCTTGTTAATAAAGTGAATTACTTAGGATTTAGAAGCTGAAAACACAAATCCAGCACGCGTAGACCAGGTGTCTATTTTGTTTATGCATTTTGTAGCAAAGTACTGGTGGTAGCTATGACTCTGCCTTGGCAGTGTAATATAATATCATCAGCATATATCGAGTACTTGACTGGTGGTTCTATATATTAGGAAAAGTCATTCATGCTAAATAAAAATAAGGTAGTGCTTAAAACTGAGCTCTTAGGTAAACCGTAAACCGAATCCAAAGCATGTGGTTTTGATATTTTTCCATTTATTAATATTCTAAAATATCGATTTTAAAAAATTTTTAAATAAATAAATGTTACCTGATAAATTATATTCTATTAATTTTCTGAGAATTAGAGATCTTTGTACAGTGTCGAATGCATTTTGGATATCTAAAGTTACTGCTATGATTTAGCTTATATTCGAAAATTTATTAACAACGTCAGTGTGTAGTATGATGTCGTGGCCAGACAGAAAGCAACGCTATGTACGCTACGTTCGCTATGTTCGCTACGTTCGCTATGTTTACTTATTATGTTAATTATTAACAAATACGTTAAATTAAATTTTAGTCCTTTTTTCAAGGTACCTCGCAACAGGAAATTCGTTCCGATCAATGGCATTTACTTATCGCATGGGTAGATCTACAGTCAGTAAGATTATTGAAGAGGTTTGTGAAGCGGGAAATTTGGAAATACATCCAACCTATAGTTATGCCTGAGCCAAATGAAGAGATTTGGAGAGCATCCGAAAACGTTTTCAAAGAAAGATGGAACTTTCCTCACTGTGTTGCTTCACTTGATGGCAAACATGTTAGAATTAAGGCTCCTCAATTGAGAGGCTCCGAATATTTCAACTACAAGAAGTACCATTCAATTGTTTTGTTGGCATTAGTCGACGGTAATAAAAGGTTCCTTGCTGTAGATGTAGGACAGTACGGGAGAGTTAGTGATGGAAATGTGTTTACGAATAGTGCAATTGGTAATCGTTTGACTGAAGGAAACATTGGCTTGCCTTCAGATGAAAATTTGGGCGGGGTCTCTTTGCCATACGTCATAGTGGGGGATGAGGCTTTTCCCCTTAAAAGATACCTTATGAGACCTTTTCCGAGAACAGGCCGACGACTCAGTGAAGCAGAGCGAATTTACAACTACAGACTTTCAAGAAGCAGGAATACCGTTGAAAATGCTTTTGGTATTCTTTCTAATACTTGGAGGGTATATCATCATCCACTAGAGTGTCGTCTTGAACCTGCTGATAAAATTGTCAAAGCTACGGTGGTGTTGCATAACTATCTACGGGCATCATTGTTAACTCAGGCCAGTGTTCCGGCCAACGAAGAAGACGAAGAGGAGGTAGGCGAAGTAGTACAGCAATTTGTTCAAATGCATGCTGGTACTGCAAGAAATGCAACAAGGGAAACCCTAGGGGCTAGAACTTCTTTCATGGAGTACTTTATGTCTGATGAGGGTCGAGTGGAATGGCAAGAAAGAGTAGTGAATCGCATAGTTTAAAAAAATATTTTATAATAATTAGTATTATAATATAATTATATATGTATTATGTATTTACCTGGTATATGTAAAACTTTACTAATCTGCTCCCACGCATTATCCCTTACATTTTGATTCCTATAATCCTCCATGGAGTTTATGGAAAAAGTCCAAGGACTTTTTCCATAAACATGGTCGTTGTTTAACTTCCTCGATTAAAATTTCCAACACCATGTTTGTTTAACAATACGCGTCGACACCACCTAGACTTGCAACGGCATAAATAAAAACCAAAACATACGTTGGACCGTTTACTGCGCAAGCCCGTACTCGGCGACGAATAAAAATATATCCGACAACAAAACATTCAATGACGCAGCTAACATAGCGAACATCGCGAACATAGCGTACGCGGATCTGTGTGGCCAGTCCCGTTGTCCACAACGGAAGATATATTTTCGTCGTATACCGAACATCGCGTACGTAGCGAACATAGCGCTCTGTGTGGCCGAGCCTTGACCAAGTTATCCAATGTACTTCGATTTGATCTAAAACCTGTTTGGAATGGGTCAAGAATACTATTTTTTTCTAGATATCATAGCAAGCGTTTATTGACCATCTTTTCTAACAGTTTACATAGTGAACAAGTGAGAGAAATTGGTCTATACAAGTTTAGAAGATTTGAGGATGAGTGATTCTTTCTGATAGGAATTGTAGTTGCTTGTCATCATAACGTTGGAAACTTTTTTTGAGACTAGATCTTATTTTTGTTATTTTTGTAAGAGTATTAAATATTGGGATATCATCTGGACCGGCTGCTGAGTGTTTTAATGAGGAGATGGCTTCGCTTAGTTCTAGGAGATTAAAAGGAAGATTAATAGAACTAGTATTAGAAAATATTTTGGGGCTGGATATGTTGGTATCTGAGTTATGGAAAGATTCGGAATATTTGATTTATCTGAAAGGTGGGAGGCAAAGATATATGCAATATGTTGATCATAGGTAACTGTTTGATCCTGCAGGGAGATGGTGGCAATTTTGCTAGATGTATTATGATTTTCATAAATCTTATCTTTGACCACATTTGCGCGGGTGAAGTGTCTTTTGTGATTGAACTAACGTACTGATTCCATGAGGCTTTCTTACTTTCTTCTAAAATACGCCTAGAATTGGCCCTAAGTTTTTTTAAAACTTAATATATCCACGGTAATACGGGTCTTCCGGAATTTATTACATGCTTTTTTTGCATTGTTTGACAGCTATTTTGCACGATTCATTCCACCACGGAACAGGTTTTTTAAAAGGATCAATCGCGCATTTACCAATGCATTCTTCAGAAGATTCAATTAAACAGTTCTTTAATAGTCTCAAAAATGTATCTATATCATTGTTAAAAAGTAATTAATCGGTTTTTCCTTTAACAAGTGGCGGAAATAAATAGCTGCTCTTTCCCTTCGAAGGCTTTCTCAAAGTCAACCAGGCATATGAATACTTTATAGTTGAAATCTTAACATTACTCTATGAGTGTTTGTACAGTGAATACTGCCCCCCGAGTAGTTGGTGCCAAAGTGTTTTCTAAATCGTAAAGTATCAACGTTCAATTCGTGGATTTCATCGTTCCTTCTGATTCTTAAAGTGCACTTTTCAACTTTCAACAAGAATTTCATTAGACCTAGGTCATTTATTGCAATTTCAGTTTAAAAATTACTTCAATTGCATTATTTTTAATTTTTTTATATAATTAGCTACCTTGGTAAATTATTATTTTAAAAATTAATTAATTATTTGAAATTAATTTAAAAATGTTATGTTGTAGGGCAAATGGAAGTAGCTTACATAATTCCTGTATTATTTTTAAATAACTCCTTAGGCACTCAATTATTGCCAATTACTATAGAAACTCAAGATTTTAACATAGCGATGGAGAGCGCCGAAAATCAATCAGCCCAAGGACTTTTATCTAAATGGTAAATAAGTTTTTCAAGTTCTGAATATGCAAAGTAATAACAATGTCGTTTTAAGGTATATGTTAGATAGTCATGCTCAACCACCTTGCTATAGACTGCGTCCAATTTCTTGTCACATTCCTGGTTTTAAAGAGACGTCGCTTCAAGATAGAGAAAAGGCTTTTGCTGAATGGGCTAGTGAGATAGACAAGATGTTGGCCGTGCTAATTACCGTTTTTTCACAAGAACTAAAAGATACTTATTTAACAACAGTAGTTGAACAGGTAAAATTATTGTTTCTTTAATCTTTCTAAATAAATATGCAAAAATAGACTAAAAAGTCACTGAGGAGCCATTATTTTATACAGTTAAAGAGGTATCTCGTAAAATTAAAAAGTCACCTCGCAGAAACAAATTTAAACGTGGGGTCCAGCAAAGTCATCCGTTCAATAAACGTTATGCAATAAAGTGCTGGATATTTTTACACTGTTGCATTGTTTCCTTTACTTGCATTATTTAAACTTGATTTTGTTATGATTGTATGGTTTGTATGTGTGTATTCTGTTTAAATTATTTTAGTTTTACTCATTTTATCCATAAGTTCTTTTCAAAACTCTGTTAAAATTAAAAACCGTAAAAGGAAGGGAATAATTGTGATATAAAAAAGTAGATATACCTAAATTAGAGTCACTTAATATTGTAGCATGGAGTTTAAGAGCAAATTATCCGGACGGGCGTTAATATTCAAGTCAAGAAATAATTGCTAATGTGTTAGCTTTAGAATGTATTACCATCAAATTCATACTTGTCATACTCCGGTCTTCAAAGACGAAAATGCAATTGAACCTCTAAAAATCATACGAACAAGCTGAATTTAGCTGAGAACATTAATTTTGGGACTTCAAAAAGATGCAAAAAATTTTACTACTTTTACCCCCGGGCTTCCCCCTAAAATCCTCTTGCAGGCGGGTAAAAACGCAAAAAATCAATTTACACAAAATCTGTACACTGTAGAAAAAATATTTCAAATAAAAAATGTAGCTGAAATAGTTTTAAACAAAAATGTGTAGAAAAGCATTCTTTGTGCAGAATGAACCGTTCTCTTAAAAACAACGCTTGAAGTGACCGTCGATTTTGCATGTCAGTTACGCGCGCGAAATTAATGTTTAATAAAATTTGTATCAGTTCGACGGTAAAAATTCGATATCTTTTTGATTTCAGTGACCTATCGACAAAAATCAAGATGCGTTTTAAAGGTAAAGAATTTGGCTTTCGTATAAAGTTTTTGTATTTTGCGTCAAATAAACTCAAATTTTATAAAGGTGTTAAATAAACAAACGTCGCGCGATGTTTTCCATGTTTTATGATTCTCGCGAGATCAATACAATATATCCCTTTCACTGACTGGCCCCTATAAAGTTTTGATTGCTAGAGCCCAACCTTTAAAAGCTATAACATGAAATTTTAGTTTTGCGTTTTAGCAACAAATGTGAGGCATTTGCAATATACTTAAAAAACTTTGGATTTAAACTTTCAAACAACAAACAATCTAAAACATTTAAAACTTTTTTTCAATTACACTAGTACGTTTTTCAAAAGAACAAAACTACTGCATTAATCTACACCTAAAACAGTCTTCTTAAATGTATTTTCCGTGACGTGTGATCGTTTGTAATATAAAACATTAAATTCCTTTGTGGCGTTAGTTTCGTGACGCTCGCAACAGCATTTCACTATAGAGAAAAAAGTAAAATACAACGTCAGTATAAAATTTTCTTTTCAAAAATATTCACATTTGATATTTAAAAATAAATAATATAAATATTGATGTATGGTGAAACAATGACTTTGGCTATGACTGCAGGATAATGCTTAAAGGGGGTTGTTTATGTCTTGTTACTTGTCTTCTGAATCAGCCTTAGTTAGTGGTGTTTTGTTTTAAGGTACAATGTATTTTTGATTGTCTTGTTACCATATCCAAGAAACAAAAAAAGTTTTATTGACGATGAATCAAAAGTTAGAACTCGTAAGTCAAAGTGAAAACGACGCTTTCCTTAAACGTATGTATGGTACCGATTAGATGGTAGTGCAAGACATTTTAAAATAAAAGGATAAACTTTTATCATCTGTAACAATATAAAAAAGCTCTTCTGTCATAAACAAAAGAAAATTTATGAAAACCTCGTATTACGTCAAATAAGGGACGGCGTTGGTAGAATGGATAGTCCAAGTTCATAACATTGTGATGTGGGTATTAGTTAAAAATAGTTAGGTGAATATTGATTTACACGATTTTATTATAAAGAAAACCATGTGTTACAATTTAACCTAGATCTTACAACAACAAACATATGTATCTGTCTCTTGTCACCGTTCACTCTCGGTGGACACTGTCATGGTAACTTCGGTGGTATTCAGCCACGGAGCGGTGTGGCTGTTACAACATGGATACACCCATATTGGGCTAAATAATTACTGCATAAGCAAAACAATTTTTGACATATTTTCAAGGAGATTTTGATACATTATCTGGGTGGTTGACTAACTTTAAGCAACGGCATAGGATGAAGGAGATAGGAGCTCAGCGACGACCAAGATGGAGCTAAGGAATTTAAAAGTGGGTTAGAAAAGAATGTTGAATGTTCGAAAAAAAAAGTTTGGACTCCAAACTTATCTTGCTTGGGTTTTAAGAATAAGTGGGTTAGAAAATAATGTTGAATGTTCTGGAAAAAAAGTTTGGACTCCAAACTTATCTTGCTTGGGTTTTAAGAATCATTTTATAGAACCATCGACTGTGTCGGTGTTTTCAGTTCAGTTGTTTTAAATTTAACCGTAGCCGTAATTCGTTTTGATTGTCCAAAATCTGCTGCTGTACCAGAAACCATCACTGCTCCGTGTAAATTAATATTAAAATATTATCATTTAAGTTAAATTGAGACATTTTGCTCAATATTTTGTTAACCAGAAAGGTGCTCATAAGCTTTCAGAAAAGGTGCTACAAGAAACAATTATAAATAATGCTAAACGTTTATTTATTTGACACCTTTATAGAAACTGTCTTCATTTGCGGCAAAATGCAAAAATTTTATTTGCATTTAAAACGCATTTTGACTTTGCCCACGAAAACTGCACTCTTCACCACCTTTAAAACGAATTTTGGTTTCTGTCGATAAGACAGTCTAATCAAAAGATATTAAATTTTTACAGTAGAGTTGATACAAATTTAATTTAAAATTGATTTCGCGCGCTATCTGACATTGAAAATCACCGGTCGCTTCGTGCGTTGTTTCTAAGAGAACGGTTTATTTTACAGAAAAAGTGCTAAAAAACATTTCTATTCAAAATTATCTCAACTCCAATGCTTGTTTGAAACATTTTTTTTTTCAACGTACTGATTCTTGGTAATTCGATGTTTTCCCTCCCGAGTGGGGATTATAGAAAAAATCCTGGGGTTAAAGTGGTAAATCTTGTTGCATCAATTTTAGGGTCCCAAAATTGACATTATCAGCAAAATTAAGCTTGTTCATCTAATTTTTAGAGATTCAGTGGCATTTTTGTCTCTGAAAACTGGAGTATTAATTTTGCAATCATTCTTAGAATGGCTACGAAATATTAAGTGTGTTTCTATATTCTAGGAAGTACATAATACAGTTTTTATGAGTCAGGAACTAGCTAAGAGATGTATATGGTTAAATAGAGTTTACACTCCAACAGCAAAAACTCCAGACAACATGAGTCCGGGAGAGGCTGAAGCACACAGAAGATTAGATATTTTACAAAAAGACTTAAAGGTACTATCAAAAAAATTCCAAACACATAATGAGTCTTATTATAATACGTGTTTTGTTTTAGAATCAATTGGCTGAAAAACATATAGTAAGGATACCAGTGAAGTACGTCGAGGGTGGTTTAAACATTCAAATACCGGAACATGAAGAATATTTAGCAAATGTAGTACATCATTTGAAGAAACATCTTAGTGAAATGATTAATACGATAATAGATGAGCACCAGAGCAAAACTATGCTTAAACCAAGTTTTGGTATTGAGGCCACGTTGTTTGAAGAACTAAATCAACAGACCACGTTTTGCCAAAAGGCAGCTCAGTGCAGCACCGATAGAGAAAAAACCATCAACGAAGTTAAGGGGTAATTTGTACAAATGCATCCTTTACTAATATATGTTATTTTTGTATCATTTATTTTAGGTATATAAACGGAAGTAGTACAAATCCATTAGTAATTTACGGACCCAGCGGATGTGGAAAAACTACTCTGTTGGCCAGAGTAGCACAATGCTGCCAACAATGGTTACCAGAGGCGTTTTTAATAGTTAGATTTATTGGCATCAGCGCCCAATCTAGTACAGTAGAACAGCTTTTGAGTTCAATTACTAATCAGTGTTCAATTTTAAATTACGGTCACAAATGTCATTGTACTCACGTAAGTATAAATGTTATACACCAGTCTATCTGTAAAAAATCATTTATTTTACGTAAAAATCTTTTACAGATGGTTGAAGGTTCTAAAAGGTATAAGAGGAATAGCTGATGAAAAATCTTTTTTTTTTTCAAAAAAAAGCAATTGGTAAGAAGAACAAAAAATGAACACTGGACACAGTTTATAAAACGGATTTAAAACGTTTAGAAAACTACGTCTACAGAACACAAAAACAAATATGGAGATCGATAAGGAACCAATGGATAAAAATGGCAAAATTGAAGCAATACAATAAAGTACCAGCAAACGAATAAGAAAGATACTGGACGAAACTGTTTAAAAGAAAGAAAAATATTAATCAACATAATAACGTACCTAAATTAAGACACGAAATAGAAATCAGTTTTTAGGAAGTAGAGATAGCCATAAATTCACTCAAAAATAAAGTCAGCAGTACCAAACGAAAAAAACAACAAGATTTTAAAACATGGAGGAGAAAGTATAACCCTAGAGATGACAAAACTTGTACAAAAACTAATATTGCAATTCAAGATACCAGACGCATGAAGAAACAGCATAATGATACCAATGTTTGAGAAAGAGGATAAAGAAGACCTCAACAATTATAGAGATATAAATCTACTGAAAATCGCACTTAAGCTTACCACAAAAGTCCTAACCAACAAAATATAAACAAACAACTTTATCAGATGAACAAGAAGGATTCAGATCCGGAAGTTCCTACGTAGATGCTATATTTGTACTAAGACAAATCACAGAAACGGCCATCGAGTACAATAAATCAGCATATCTATGTTTCATAGACCTCACAAAGGTTTCGATCTCATCCAAGTCGAAGACGTTTTACACCTACTGTATAAAAGAAACATACCAATTAATATTATACAAATCATCGAAAACATCTACTTCCATAATCGAATACAGGCAAAGATAAATGAAAAACTAACACAGTGTATACCAGTACAAAGCGGAGCCAGAGCTCGTTAAGCACACTCCTCTTTAATGTATTAATGGACGAAATCTAAAAACTAAAAACCTAACACACAATCTAAAAACCTAGTTAAGGAGATGTTGAAGAAAAAGTAGAACACCAATATTTAAAAGCAAGTAAAGCGGCGGCATCTCTTAATGACGCAATCTGAAAGAACGAACCCCTGAACAAGACACAAAAACAAGGATCTAAAAAGCAGCAATTTGACCTATATTAACATACACGGTATAGACAAGACCTGACACATCTAAAACGAGACGACTACTAGAAACAACAGAGATGAAAATATTCCGACGAATATCAGGTAAAAGTTTGTTGTATAGGAAGATGAGCGAAAACATAAGAAGAACATACAATATAGAAGACATAAATGGATGGATGACAAAGCGGAAACAGGCGTGGAACGAACACATTAGTAGAATAGCAGAGGATAGAATAGTACGAAGAGCACGTGACATGTCACCAAATGGACGAAGAAGTATTGGCAGACCAAGAAAAAGATGGTGCGATAATTTAAACAATTTAGGAGGCTAATAATGAAGAATAAACCGGCTTTAAAGCCTACATATAAAAAGGAAGAAAAAGAAGACAAAGCTTTGTTGTATATCAATTCTTTAATAAAAACATTGCTAGTTGAAACTGTTGATAGATGTTAATTTAATATTTCTGTATTTATTTTTCAGAACATAGAAACCTACCAAAAAGTACTTCCAAATCTACTAACAGCAAGTTGTCTGCAAAGGCCGCTGATAATCTTATTGGACGGTCTGGATCAAGTACGAGCGTACAGTTCTAAAAACATAGACTGGCTACCCACGGTTTTGCCAGATAATATTAAATTAATAATCTCTGTATCAGAGCAAAGTGATATGCACGCCAAAATTAGTGAAAAGCTTGACCAAGACAATTTTATACAGATGCCTCTTCTTGGAGAAACCGAAGCCAAGGGTATCCTGATGTCTAGCGTCATGCAATATAATCATAGCGTTAACTCTAAAATTCAAGACTGCGTATTGAAATCTGTCCAAGAATGTACCATTCCTTTATACTCTAAGGTAAGAAAGAAACATTAATATTCTATATTTATTCATATTTAAATTTACGTCAAGTGTATTTATCTTGAAGCTATGTACAGTTGCGGTCACGGAATAGTTTACAGGTTCACGTATCTAGGAGCCCATTTTTTAAATTTTTACTTCGTTTAAAACGCACCTTTTACGTCAAAGTGACGTTGCCAGTGGTGTACTAGCTAGAATAGGTAGATTAAAATTAAAATATCAAAATATTTTACAAAATGAAAAATATAGAAAACAGTTTTTTGAATAAAATGGATTATGATCTTAATAACGAAAATAAAGAAGTCTTCTAAGATAGTCTATATAAGATAGTCTTTATTCAAATGTATTCTAACCATTTTGGAAGAGTTTAATATACTTTTATTTTATTGTTGAACACTCGCGAAAGCATTGACGTTTTGAAATTTTTTGACTTTGACATTTATCAAATCCGTACGACACTGCAATTTTACAGTATTACAATATAAAAAGTAAGGTGTAAACTATTCCGTGACCGCAACTGTACCAATAAATTGCCATTTACTTCCCGACTTCGAATTATTTCACATCGTTGCTCGAGAATTTTTGACATAGGGAACTTGCATTTATATTTGAATTATTATATTGTATTTTATACTATTAGTATGATTTAAGTTGAAAAAATATAATTTGGGAAGCCGATTTCTATGAAATTTAACCGCTTGCCTTACGAATTAATTTGAAAGAATCTGTGTAAAAGTAATGCAAAATGTAAATTAACAAAAAATATAAAAAATAAGACATATTAAAGAAAAAAATATCGCTCTAAAAAGACCAAAATTATTATCCCGAGTTGTTTGCCAATAAAAGCATAGGTATATTTTATATATTTGATTTAGTGTTTGAAGCATGGCACAAAACATAATGGCATTTGACAGTTAATATGTTGTGTTATCCCTTTTTCTACTATACATTCCACATTGACGTGTCAGGTCATTTTTCTTCTGTGTTGGAGAAATATATTCTGTGAAATGTCTATTAGATAAAGGAAGAGGTACTAGAGTCGATTATACTGGAGTAATAGGTTTCAAGTATCATTTCAATTACATATATCCGAAATTGTAATAGTGTGTATTATCCTCCATTTTTCTTGTATAACAAATAAGAGTTCCAAAGCCAACTCTATCAGATGGTAGAATATTTTCTTGCCAACTCTATCCAGATGGTAAAATATTTTCTTGTAGTATCCCTTTCCACGTTTTCTAGTTATAGGATAATCACTGATAGCTGAACTCTATCAACTCCTCCCATTTTAAAATTGTAGTCATTTACTACTATTGGTTTTACTCTTTCTTCATTTCTTTTTTTTTAACTATAGTATCCCTGTTATGGACAGTGAAAAGCATAATTATATCTCTTTTATCTCGCTATCGAAATACTAATAATGTTCCATGTTTGACAACCAATTTTTTTTTTCTATTAGCTTTTGCGATTCCATAAGTGTCGTTTTTTTGTAATCAGAAAATCAGACAGTTGAGAAGAAGAATAAAAGTTGTCAGTTATGAGGCAGTGGCCTAAGCTATAGCGACTGCATAAGAGATAGTACAATTTGCGATGTAAATATGTACGTTGTATAATTTTGGTTGATAACAGTTCCTTTACCGGTAAATATTATAAATAACCAAACATAACCGCTTTTAGACTCACACAACATACAGGGTGGTGAATCGTCAAACGGGCCATAGGAAACTCAATGGGAAATTCTAAATTGTTGAATTCCTGCTGCCCTAATTATTTTACACCAAAATTCATGGGAAACTATTTTTAGAGGACTCAAATATGTATCGAAAACAACTGTTAAAATTGTTCTACGATTTAAAATTATTCCAAAATTTTGCTAAAATATAATACATTTTTCAGGTCACCCCTAAAAGTCAGGCCAGACGCCGTGAAAAAATGTGTATTACGTGTTGCGTTTTGTCATATTGATGTTTTTGATATTTGACAATATTTAAATCAACTAAATTTTTAAACAATAAATCACAAAATTTTGTGATTTATTGTTTAAAAAAAATTAAGTTTTCTACTATATTATTTATCTATCAATTAAGTTGATTAAAAAATGTACTATGTTGAGGAGAAAAGAGCAATAATAAAAATGTTTTATTCATGTTTTATTATAACATTTGTTATATTGTTATGTTTAGAAATTATCATAAATTATTTTTAGGGATAAAGATCACAGTAACAGTGTATTGGAATTGATTGAATTGTTGTATAACTTAACATGGAATTTAATTTTGTTTGTATTAGAATATCTTACGTTAAATAAAGATCCGGTAGTGACAGGAAAAGGTTCGCGCTATTGCCTGAATACAACATTATGGGATTTTTCGTCAACTGAGTACATTTCATTATATTATCGATTTGTAAACAATATAATTTATTATTCACAAAGTAATATTTGTTGTTCAGTAGTATTAGTATTTAGTAAAATTCATTGTTTATAATTTAATCATAAAATAAAAAATTGACAATTCAAATTGTCAAACATCTGACATTAATATGATAAAACACACACTAATATATATTGTTGCATTACGTGTGACCTAACTTTCAGGGGTGGCCTGAAAAATGTATTATATTTTTACAAAATTTTAAAGTATATTTGATTCGTAGAACGGTTTTAACATTTATTTTTAATTCAGATTTTAGTCCTCTACAAATAGTTTCCCATGACTTTTGGTGTAAAATAATTAGGAAAGCAGCAATTCAACAATTTAAAATTTCCCATTGAGTTTCCTATGGCCATCGAGCAATAAGACAAAAGAGGGAATCTAATCCTTATGAAAAGGAGACCAAAAAAGTGGCCTCTGATGGCGGACATATCCGGAAATGCGAATGCGCGAAATTTAAATTTTGCGACACTTATCAACAGTAGCTATATAATATTTTTCAGAATGTGTCTTAGACGAGAAAGTTTTAATTAATTATTAATGATAAGAGTCTAAAATGCGACACAATTGTTAAAAAACTTCAATATAAATAAGATTTCAAGTGACATTTGGGACAAACAATAACATAACCCAACTAAATTTGATGTCAAACAAGGAGAGAGACTCTCTATCCTTGTTTAAAGTGGCCTCTAAAGATCGCACTTTCTGTCTAACAATATGTTTGCCCCCACTACCTTTACATTCCCTCTATTGTCTTTTTGCTCGATGCCTATGGCCCGTTTGACGATTCACCACCCGGTATAACTTTTTATGCCAAATCGAGATCTCTTGAGCGGAATGTATTGTTTCCATCTAAGTCGTCCTTTGTATAATAACAAACTTTCGTTTATTCTAACATCACGATCGAGAGAATAGTACTTCCTAAATTTTTTTAGAAATGTGTTCATAAATGGGCCAAATTTTATTTAGTTTATGATTTAGATGCTCGTTTGTGGATTGTTTTGACCAATACAGTTGTTGGTCCGGCTTTTTTATGATGCTCTGTAGAATAACTAAACCAAGGATATTTCAGGATCTGTAGTTTCCCTTCAATGTACTCTTTTCGACGTAGCTGGAGCATTTCTAGTTATTTGTCCCGCATACCGATTAGTTTCGGTCGTAATGTGAGCAAATGCAATATTATCGTCAACGAATAAGACATTGTTTAGCTCAAGAATTTCAAAATTTATAAAAAATTTCCCATGAAACGGAAATCTAGGTGATGGCGATAAAATATTTATTTCACACCATTCGTGTGCTGCTGTTACATCAGTATTACTATCATCTGAATCATTAAATTCATCAAAAACACTGTCGGTATCACTTTCAGAACCTGAACGGCTTCAGTTCAGGTTCTGAACCGTTCTGCTATCCGTTAGCTATCCGTACCACTGTGCTCAGCGTGGTGGGTGGTGGCCTGGCACAACCAGTTTCCCCACCATCGTGTATAATACAGCACAGCGACAACAAAATTTGCAGCAACAAAATAGATGCGTTAAAACGTTTTTATATATTTATGCCACTATCTAAAACGATTTTAAACGGTTTTCTACTAACTGTTCAGCTGTTCAGTCACCATTCGGCGCGAGATAACTCGGATTAATAATTTTTGTTCAAAATTGTTTGGCTGAGCATACTCGGGATAAAGTGTTAAGCGGTTAAAGGAAAATAATAATGATAGTTAAAGGTTTTCTTATATTTTTACATGTATTTTGGTAAGTTTTTAAAAAATAACATCTAGCATTTGCTCTTTTAGGTTTTAGCATGGCAAACATCGTGGTGGGTAGATAAAGAACACGAAATCGTACCAAAAGGACACGTCAACGATCAACTACATCAAATGCTAGAAGAACTAGAAACAATTTTAGGAGAAACTCAAGTTCAACACGCTCTGGCTCTACTAACATGTACAAAGCATAGCCTAACTGACTCAGAAATGATAGACTTACTAGCTTTCGATGAACAATTCCATACAGATACAACATTTGGTAATAAGTTATCTAGACTTACAATATACTTTTATTTTTTTATATAGATGTAGATTTTGATCTTGTATTTATTTTAGAAAAAACGTCTCTATGTGATGTTTTAGTTTCTTGGGCTCCGGCGTGCATAACTTGGTCTAGAATAAATAAGTACTTAGCTCCATTCCTCCATTGGACCTTAACTGGTAAGGTACTGGGTATTCAGTGGAAGGATAATTTGTTAAAGGAAGCAGCATCTGAAAGATTCAAAGAACATAAAAAATGGGCCCACCAAATGCTTTATGACTATTACAATGTAAGAATTTAGTTTCACTTTTATAAAGATAAACATTATTTCATTGTAATAAAATTCTAACACTTATTTTAATTCATTTACACCAACACTAAAACACAAATAATTTAGAATGTATATATTTATTACTTGATAATACGAATTTATTTTTAGACTGCTAGATTAATTAAAATTATTCTCAGACATCGTGGCGTTAAGGTATTGTAAAATCTTTGTCGCGGGCCGTTACCTAAACTTGCCCGTTACCCACATAGTCCCACATAGAAACCCACATAGTCGATCGTCGAATCATCTAGATTATGTGAAAGACAGGGCCGACGGAACAATGTAAAAAAGTATCTACCCATACAATTGATTGAAAATGCATTTTGTCTTTATTCGATACCTATTTTTTACACCATTTCATTGATATTTTCTAAAATTCCTAAAACTCTTTCCTTTTAATAATCCATTTCATGATTTTCTTCGACTCGAAGTTGAAAAAGTTCACAAACTTACTGTCATAACACACCATATATAGAAATTAATCGCAGAGTAGCAATGACTGAAACCACTTTTCTGAAAATGAAAACATTTATTTGGAATAACTCTCTATGAGTGCAACTCTCTATGACTGCACTCATACAGTCCTCGAAGACATACCGTCTCAGGACTAGCAACTTCAACGTGGAGTCATATGTCGCCATGTTACCAAATCCATCGGTAACTCTGTAATCCTATATCATTACAACATTATTTTAAAACTAAATGTAATTAAACATATGTAATCGGGTTTTTACCCACATATTTAATCTTGGTGGCTTCATTCATGTACTCCTAGACACTGATGATGGAACATGGTTTCCGAAAACGTTTTGTCTTTTTAACTTAGCCCGTTTGGGCCTAAAATATACCTATTACAAAGGATTTTTAATTAAATAAATCGAAGATCTGTCATTAAAATTGGATCTTAGGATCGCTTATATGTAATGGATGCTTATCTAGCGAGCGGTGGCAAGGCTTATTGGTTTAAACTACTCCGAACGGACGTGATTCCGCCCTCGCGGCTTTACTAGAGGGTAGGGAAATATTTGGATAAGTGGATGAAAGGACTTCCAGATGCAGGTCCTGTAAAGAGTTAGAGTTTCTTGGCTTACGTTAGAAGCCGGAGAAATATACAAAGCTAAAAGTGAGTTATCTTCTTGTTTCTACCTAAAACGGGCCGGGAAAGAACAAAAAGCTCAATTACAAAATTACAATATATTAATAAATTGTAAAACTACAACTAAGACAATGTTAGAAGTTTAACAAGATATACGATATAGCTAATTATTGATTTATCAAAGTTTTGCGAAAGAAGACGAGAAGAGATTAAGGAGTATAACAGGTAGACGATCAACGATTATTTGTATTCCCCCATTGGTTAGTATTTATGTTTAGTTACCTTAGCGTGTTTAGGTCCTAGCTAAAGAATACCTTTATAATCCAAACTCCAACTCAGGAACAGTCTGGATGAACGCTGGGAGTACTGTACGCTATCATGATTTTAAGAGAGACGAAAAATTCGATACTTATACTTTACTACCGTTCCCGTCGGATACAATACCGCGCTAACTGAGCTGAGCACACCTGGATGGCTGACCGAATAACACTCCACTAGGTCGCCGAGCACTGCCTCCTTGACCAATTTTCTTGGTTTTTATGTCCCGCGAAACGCGTACCCTCAATTACTACGTCACAGTACTACGTTCTTGTTCCAAAGTCCGAGTACCGAAGTAAAGCGTCGCGTCTTATCGCTTTTCCCCTAGAGTTTTTTTGCTGATTTTACCATCTGCTCCGCGTGCTAAAATGGATCATGCGATGGTGTAACCTCTTAGCTCAGGTCAATTCTTGTCGCTGGTATGTCGCATCGTTGTATTATTTTCCAACGAAGGTATATGGTTTCGTAATTTTTACACATTACGAAAAATATCGATAAGTGATATCGAAAAATTGTCTAATAATGTTAAACTACGTCGAATTTTATTTTTTATTTATTTAATTTGGAATAGATAATAATTATTATTATTCTTTTCTAGGCTAACTACCCCTTTTTTTTTATTGTCTTGCTACGTGAACTTGTTACATACCGGGGCTAACTGGTTAGCGATTGTGCTTGGGGGGGGGGTCTGAAGCTGTTGACTATCCATATTTTGTTGACTACTTGTATATAGTTCGGTACAAAATCTTTCTGTTATTTTTCGCAGTTTTTCTTTATTTTTTGTTAATAAAAAATGTAATATTATAATTATTATTTAGAATATTTATCTACAGTAAAGTAGGTTTACATTTACAAATAAAGTATCGATTCTTTTAGGGCCGATGGTGGAACAGTAAACCTAAAAACCTCCAGGCTCGATTGGTCGTTCAAGAAAATATATTAGGAAAATGGTATGGCGATAATATGGATGTGATGTTTTCCTTATTTTGTTTGATTTACATATTATTTTTGTACATATTTAATTTGTTTGCCGTTATGCATGTACATATTTTTTTAATAAAGCTTTTTAATTCTAATTTTTATTTTTATTTTGCTTTTAATTGCAAAGCTTATTTTTGCACAATAGACAACTTAATAAGTTGGTAAAAGTTTGTTTTAGTTTATTAGAAATTCTTGGGTTGAGCAGAGTAAATTGTAATTATTCTTTCTAGAATGTATTAGGGGAAGGTGGGGGAATATCGACTACTTAAGACAAAACTGTTATAGACTGTTTGCTATAGCTTTTACGAATTTGAAACTGATAATATGAACATTCAGTTAACCCATTACTGTTTTAAAAGTATTATAAAATATTTACAAATATTTTAAAAATACATATTTTTGAAACTCAAAAAATTCGGCTATTATCGACAATGGAGATGGGTAATATTGATCAAGGGTGGGAAATATCGATCACAGATGAACAAGTTCAATGGTTAAGTTTACTTAGGTTTAAGCGTTACTTGGGTTATTCAATCAACGGTTTAAGTATAAAATACATATTTCTTTAGTTACATTTACAGTTTGAACAATATAAAGAGTAACACGACATCACCACCATTATTTCTTTGATCCAAACTTTAAACATATTGCACATAGTTCGCTTCTTCTTCTTGTCTATTTTTTCTGTTTCTATCTTAGTATCTCAAATTGTTCGTTTAACTTTCTCAACCTTGATGTTAAAATGGTCGTGTGTTGAGTCCGCCTGCTTCTAGTTTTTGTATAACTACTGACTTGTAGTGCCGGTAGAAGGAGATTTCATTTTTTAGCTGCACTGATGTATCCTTATAGTTGCTCAGATCAATGTCTGAAACTTCCTCTAATTCTGATTCAGATAAAAAATCTTCTAATGATGGTGCTGCGTTTGGTCTCAGTTTTTATTTGCGACACCACTGAACCCTGGTAGTTCATCTAGGGGAACTGGTGTTGGCGATGGTGTTTGATGTATATCCGGCAGAGAAGACACATTATCTTAATATTGTTCAACAACTGGTATAGATATTAATTCTTCTTCACAATAAAACATCGAGATTGAAGGGAAAAATCCCTGTAGTTTGAAAACCATTTACAGCCTTCTCAACAGACCCAGCCCTATTAAAGGCATTTTTAATAAGTTCCGCAACGTCTGTTGTATTGACTTTCTGATATATATTTTTTTCTGTTTTATATACTTGTCACATTCTTGGTAGTGAACTGTCTTAAATGGAGAAAAAACGTGATATCTAGAGGCTGGAGACGGTGGGAAGTGTGCACTGGCAGTGAAAGGAGATTTATTCCTGTGTCGCGGCAAAAATTGTAGGAAGCCAGACTTGAATGCGTTGTGTGGTTATCTAGCACTAAAAGAACTGAATGGTCTTTAGAAGTATTAACATGTCGCTGAAAATGCTTCAACCATTTCAAGAAAAGTTGTTATTGCCCAATAGGACCATTTTTGTCCAAAGCTTCTTTCATCCGATTTCTTCTATAAATAAACATAGGCGGAATATATTGACCTGAGGTACTGAAAGCGCATACTAGCGTCGTGGTTTATCTTCGGTTACTACCGGTAATTGCACCAACTTGTTTCTGGAATTTGGCAGCAACAATTTTACAGGGAATATGAATATTACTGATACTCGTCTCAACATTAAAAATTTGATGACATTCAAATTTGTAACGATCACATAAAGTTGTTGCTAGATACAAATTCGAATTTCTCTTGGTAAAGACAGCTTTTTGTCCCAGTGTAATTCTTTTGGCTTACAAACGGCCTCTTAATCGGTCTTGCAATGTTCCATAAGAGATGTTGGATAACTTGGTTGCTTCTTTTATCGAAAGTATTTTGTCAGCTATATCGGTGAGCACAATTAGGGTAATATCGATCACGTTGAGGTAAAATCGACCACTATAGTCGATTTTATTCGAAAGTGTGCTCATTATTGACATGAACTTTTTTAGAAAGCAATTATCCTGAAATTATATAATTTTGTGATATCTGTATTCTAGAAATATGTTTCCATGCATTTTGAATACTAAAATGCTGACTTCAGGTAATAAAGGAGCCCTTACCTTAAAATACGATTGTAGAATCTTATAAAAATCTTCCACAAAACATAAATTTACTAGACATTAAGTGCCTATGACGTATGAAAAACGACCAAGTGGTCAGTGCACCACCTGTTGTTGATGCGTTCAACATGTGCACATTCGTTTTGCTCTGCGACGTCAATTAGATGAAATTGACAGCAGGCGTGTGACGTCACATATGTCATAACTTTCCAAACAAAAGTTGAAATGTCAAATCTCAAGAGTTTTTAATTTCTATAAAGTTAACATTTTGCTTCCTCTGCTACTTTTTCTTCAAAGTATAGTGTTTTTTACGATAATACCATCACAATTCAGTGTTATATTTCTATGGAATATAGTTTAAGAGTATACATTAAAGAAAGTCTAACCTTACTTTATTGATGCATTCATTTTATTGCTATTTTTATAAAAAAAAACATGCTTTATTATTTACACAACCTTGTAAAATTGTTGTACTAACTATTAGAATACTTAAATATTGCATAAAACGGAAAGATTATGTAAAAAAAATTAAAAAATAACGAAAAATACAAATTATCCACACTAAACAACGTTTATTTGGAAAGTGAAACTGACAGATGTCAATCAAATCTACGTCATCACTCCGGCGGTCCATTCGAAGGGTGATCGGATCGATATTCGATATTCCCCCACCTTCCCCTAATTCCGGGGAACAAGTTTTTCTCAAAACTTCGCAAGAGCCAGGTATTTAATTTGAGTTTTTTCGGTTCTGCAGAAATGTTGACGTTGTTTTTTAATTATCAACTATTTATTGCGAAAATTGCGAAAATATTTATTCACCATTAAAAAGGTAAAGTGAAGTGGAGTAAATGTAATATAATTTTTGAATAGGTCACTTTCATACGGGTAAAACTTGCATTTTTAATGGAACAATGATAAAAAAAATATTTCAAATATAGTTATTAATTGATCCTATCTTTCATATATACGCAACTTTTTTTGAAAAATGTGAAATATGAAAAACACATTTTTTTTTATATTATGTCAGTATATCATATTTACCTCGAAACTTACAACTTTTAGGGCAAATGTAATAATTCTGTCGCTCCGTGCGTGACTGATGCGACACCTACCGCCTTCATCTGACAATTTTGGAGTCCCAATTTTCAGGTTAAATATATGACATATGTTTGACATTGGTAAATACATGCGAAATTGACAATTATTAATAAATTAGTTTTTTAACTATATTTTTTCAGTTTATGTACAAAATAAATGTAGTATTAAAAACTGAGTTTCTCAAAATTTATCATAATATATCTTTTCAACTCCAAACGGAAAAGAAAGCGAAAAATCTAGTACTGGCAAATCAAGTTTTTCACGCAAAAGAGCATATAATTAAAAACACTAATAGTAAAAGTTATGATATAAAAGCGAAAGTCATCTGCAGTTAGCTTGAAGCCTTATGAAATATCATTCAAGGTAAATTATTTAAATTGTTCCTACTTAAATTGCATAAAAATGAAATTATGTGATATTTACTTTTTCATATTAATAGCACGAATTCATCTTTTTCTTTTCTCTAATTTATATGTAATCTTTGGGAACCTATAAAAACTACACTCACTGTTTTTGCTATTATTAGCAGAATTAAATACGCAACATGTATTTGCACACATTTTTGATAAAACTTATGCGTAAAAATATTTTGTCCAATATTCCAATTTTGTCATATTTCGCCGCTACGCACGCTGTCATCGTTTCAATGTACCCCTACCATGGTAACGCACGGAGCGACCAACCTACGCGCAACTAACGTGCTTTATAAGCAGGTTATTTAAAACATTACGTGGTAAAAGTATAAAATCTAAACTATAAAGATCGATCGTAAATAAAACCAGTATTTAAAAAAAAATTAATTATCTAAAAAAACATACTTTAACTTGTGGTACTTAAATAAATATTGAAATCATGTAACCTTTAAAAGAAACTGAGAATATAAAAAAACCGCGTCTATTGACAATTGGTTTTGGAAAAACCAAGACGAGATCACTTTGGTCTACAGTGTCTATTATCGTTTTTTGCAAATCATCTGTACTTTACTGTCCCACCATCATTGCATGTCTCTGTAAACATTCCAACAAAGTGCTTTATTATTTTTTTGGTGCAATATCTGACTCGTACCCGAGAATTAAGAATTACAGTTCGGTCAACATCTTTAATGTTATTATCATCTTCAAATCCATGCCAAAACTCTTCAGAATTGTCGGAATCCATATAAGGTGGAGATGCAGGTTGCAAATCTGTGTTGCTGGACGAAGTTGATCTTCTTTTTATTTCTTTTAGCTGGTTTTGGTAATGTTGATTTTTTACTGTTTTCTTTTAGTCGAATTTCTTCCTCTTCTGAGGTTAATATTTCAGAACCAGGACATACTCTCGACTTTTTTGTTGTCTACGGCTTAGGTACCTGACGGCCTACTGACAATAACAAGTTTTTAAATAACACGTTAAAACCAGGTTCTTATGTAGCACTTCCTTCCTTTGGAGTAGAAGCCACTATAGTGTCCTCTTGATGTAAAAGCGAATGCAGTGTCATCTACTATCGAATTCCCGTTAACACAGATATTACTTTGAGAATCGTTTCATCTTTTTAATGCTACTGGTGGGAAAGCTTCATCGCTATAACATCGTTGTTAATTGGGAAAATTCCACCTTTTTGTAATCCACATGTGAAACTGTGGAAATATTCTCTTTGGCAGTTTTTGGCCCACATGCTATCTTTGCCAAGATATCAACGTTTTATCCCAGTTTAGTTTAAATGGTCGAAAAACAGACAGATCTAATGGTTGCAAAATATAACTGCTGTGTGGTTGTAGTTTTAATATAGTTATGTTGTTCTTCATCGCTGCTTTAAGTATTTCAAAGCTTATATGGGTTGAGTGACCATCATAAATGATTAAAATAGGACGTTCTAGACCAAGTGCTAAAATCAAAGTTTTCCTGAAGTAGTTTGTAAAAATATCACTCTCCATCTAGCCTTTCTTACGGATAGCATAAGCGGTACCCAGAAAATCTTCTTTGGGAGGTGCAAACCACTAGTCCCACAAATGCTTGCCTTTAAATATTATTAATGGTGGGGCTTTACCACCAGCTGCGTTGCGCATAAAAAGAATAGTTGTGTTTTCTTTACCTGAGGAACTTACTGTCCTCGAAGAAGATTGGTTGACTGCACCAACTACTTTAGATTTTCTCGGAGCTATACTTAGGCTACGTTCATCTAAGTTCCATACTCTATGAGGCTTATCAAGAAGCTCAAGCTCGGTCATGGCATTAGACAACAACAATACTGTGCATATATATAAATACGAAGTTTTCTAAAACATTAACTTCCTATAGTGAAGCCATTCGGAGAAATATAAGATGCTAAATATTGTTTAAATGGCGTTTTTGAAAAAAAAAGTTGTTAATTTCATTGTCAATGAAATACAAAAAGAGTTGCTTACTTTGATTATAAATGAATAGGTTAAAACAAAAAATCTGTAATTACATTTTTTTCCAACTACATAATGTATAAAGCGTATTTTCAAGGATAACATAACCTATTGCTTCTGCAATTGGAAGAAGTCTATCATTTTGACTGCTTTAAATTGTCCAGTATCATTCTATTTATCATATTTTCTAAAGATGTAAAACAGTTGTATGCTTCTTTCTTTGTGTTGTCTTTGGATAAAGGTTCTTACAACGTTTAAAGCACTTTCCACATCTTGTCTATTAGGACCTTCTTGCGTAGATTCACCGCAATTGTCTTCTTCATCTTCATCACTTTCGTCACTGACGATAACGCGCTCCACTGGCGGATTTATTACTTCTGCGAATTTATTAATTTCACTATCCGTCGGAAGATCACAAACAATGACGTCATCATCAACGGCAATGAATTCAGCAAACTCGTCATCATTGTTAAGTTGGGTTAGTTCTTCACCTTGATGTTGTAACCTCAAACACTCTGCTACAGGATTTTCATCTTCTTCGTTTTCTACCTTAGTTTTTGTCCACCCGCATTACCGAAACATTTTCTGGTGGTTTTTTTCATCTACGAGTGTCCATGCTTTGTGGTTGAAATTAATGGCATCTAATAAAATAACAGGGAATTCACTACAGTTGTCCACATTATTCAGGATCCGCTTAACTAAAAGTTTTCTGTAGTGAACTTTAAGGCCTTGATCTCTTGATCCATCGGTTGCAGAACAGATTTACAATTGCACCTCTGAAACATCGTGGTTTTTGAGATTTCACAATGACGACTAACTTCCTTTTTTCGGAACCGAACATGTTGGTACACGCGAGTACAGTTACCCTTTCTTTTGATAACTTGCAACCTATACAACGTTCATTTTTGAATTTGAGGGTTTTATCTGGAGTAAGTTGAAAAAAAGTCCCAGCTCGTCGGCATTGAAAACATTATCGTCACTGCAGTTTTGTCTTATTTTGGGCCATGACTTCAACCAGTTGTTGGTGACTTCAACACGTAATTTCGTGCCTGGCCTTAAAACGGCTCATCCACCCACTCGATGCTTTAAAATTCTCATCACCAACTAGCGCCTGCGAAAACTGTGTTGCTTTTTCTTGAAGTAGTTGTCCACTTATTCATTCGCAGCCTTGTTTACTTTAAACCATTTGACCATTGCAGTATCGAGTTCTTTATTAGTTGCCGCACGTAGTTTTTTTTCCATTTACCGGAAAAAGACGAACTTGCTTTGAAAATCTTGTATTTATTTTTAAACATGGTAGATAGAGTGGAACTTGAAATTCCTATTTCACGGCAAAAGCTTTCTTCTTACCGTTCTCAACATCTTTAAGGATGTTAATTTTTCTTCTAAAGTAGATGCTTTTCTTTTAGGAGTTATAGTGTGTAGTCTATGTGACTATGTAATCTACAACACAACTTTTAAGATGCGAAAGCACAATCAGAAAACAAACGATAAATATCTACGACAAAAACAACCGTAAAATGAAAATTCTGGTAAAATTTGTTTTATTTGTCATGTTCTTAAGCCTCTTTATGTAGTTTATTAGGTACGAAGAGTTAAACCCCTTAAGTTAAGTACCTCAACCTTGCACAATAAATGGGCACATCTTAGAACAGGTCAATAGATTTAAGTACCTGGGATGTTGGATCGATAGCAGCCTAAATCCTGATCAAGAAATAAGATCGAGAATAGAACAGGCTAGAAAATCCTTCGAAAAAATAAAAAAACTGCTTTGTGATTCTCGAATAAAACTCGAAATTCGACTACGTTTATCAAAATGCTACGTCTGGTCGACTCTTCTATATGCAGTTGAAACGTGGACCCTTAAAACATCAACCGTAAATAAATTGGAGGCCTTTGAAATGTGGATCTACCGGAGAATACTCAAAATTTCATGGACATCGCATACCTCAAACGAAGAAGTGCTGCATAGAATAGGCAAGGAAAGAGAACTTTTTAACACAGTAAAAGTAAGAAAAACATCATACCTAGGCCACATACTGAGAAATAATAAGTACCAATATGCCCAACTTATAGTGAAAGGAAAAATCGAGGGAAAGAGAGGCCTAGGAAGGAAAAGACTATCATGGCTCAGAAACATCCGACAATGGACAGGGCTAAATTTTGAACAGCTAATAAGAACAGCTGAAGATAGAGAAGAGTTTAAAATTGTAGTAGCCAACCTCCATTGAGGAGAGGGCACTTTAAGAAGAAGAAGAAGAAGTTAAACCCCTACACTGACACTTGTGAATCATAAATTGTAAATTTACGATAACACAATATCGGTCGGTAGATTAAACAGAAGTTTATTGCGGCGGCAGTTAAAAAGGGTATTTATTTATAGCCACAGCCGAGCTTGTAGAGGTAAAAAAACACGTTTTTCGATCTTATTTTCTCTCGGTATAACTTTATCTGTAAAAAAAATTAGACGACTCATTTTAGACCCAACAAATTTTTTTGCAAATTTACAATTTTTTTGACAACGCTGGATTGCAAAAATATTATGCAAAAACTAATAAATCGATCTATCGAAATTTAGCACACGTTTCAATCGTATTATAAAGTTTTTCTAGACAAAATATGAAGGCTTAAAGTTATGTTAGGGGGTCGAAAAAATTTAAACGAACATGGGTATTAACATCTTTTCGATGTTATAACTCGAAATTTTCTGTAAACGATTTACGTACCTGGCTCATCTATCAGTTTAGAAATTTATCTTGTCGGTTAAACCAGACACCTGGTATTTATTAAAAAATAAAGTCATTTTCCAAAATCCAAAAGAAACTTTCGTAGAAATTTTTTTTCATAAACCTATCAGAAATCTAAATATTAGCAAGTTACGTTATTTTTTGTACATACCGTATAACAAATATTTGTAGAAATATCTGTTCATCAGCGCTATCTTTATTTTGGCGCTTTACAAAGGTGTTCTAAGGTTTGTACTTAATTTGTGTGCTTACTATTTAAACACTATACACAACAAACTTCACAAGGTAATATTATAATACTAAATTCTCTTCAACAGTTATAACCGCAGGCGACTGGACGAACTTCCTTACCAACACTTCCAACTGCATTCCAATCTAGAGAACTCGATGTTCCTCTCGGATACTTCCTGGATATACGACAAAGTATGTGGCTCCAACTGCTATCAGATATTAGAAGATATCAACCTTCATCCTCAAATCTCAAATCAATTTACGCTTGTTCTTAAAGACTTTATTGAAACTCACGCCTCCGTACTGAACTACGACGGCAAACAATTCTACTCACACATGTACAAATATTTAACTAATAAAATTAGCAAGAATGAACTTAGTATAGAAAATAATGACTCTAGTTTATCAAAAGTGTATAGTGTATGTAAATCTCCCCCTGTTTTATCGCTGATTGCTATTAACGAAGAAGATTCGGTGGAATCAGACCAGTTTTCGGAGAAGACGATTGAAGAGAAGAATTTCGATTTAGTTGTACGCCTTCCGAAGACTGATCAGTTTATTGTAACCGTCTCTACGAACAACAAAGAACTTTGTGTTTGGGATATTATTAAGTAAGTATTTGTAAATTATAAATTATTATCACAATGAAAAGTATCTCTCTAATGTGGTTTGTGAGGTAATAATGATGACTAGTCTCTAAGTGAAACCACAAATATTAATAACAATATTTATTTAGTACAATTCAAGACGCGCTTCGGCATCACTGTCAACATCAACTTTATAAAACGAGAGAAACTAAATTGAATCTAATTTAAAGAAAAATGAAAAAGTAGCTGAGTTGCTGGTCACTAGCTCTGATTCTAACCTTTCTCTTCAAAATAGTACCCATAGGAAAACAATTAGACTTTTTGGGTCTTTTTAATAATCCACTATTAAATGGTTTTAAATAATAATTGTGTAGTTTAGAATGTTCCCTATGGAGTTGGAAAACTAGCCACTTTTCTACTAAAAGACTTTTCTACTAAAAAAAGTATTTCTCTTACTATTTGGTCTTTTATATTTTCTTTATTTTGTCCTATACTACTTAGCTTAATTCCTAAGTATTTAAGTTTATCCATAGCTTCTTCATTTCCCATACATAGGTGACATGTTTTTTTATGTTGATATCCAGACTCCACTTTCTATATTCTTAAACAAGTTTCTTTAGGTCTACATTCTAAATCTTTCGTGTCCTGTGCAATAACAATGTGATCATCTGGTAATGTAATATGTAGAGTATTGTATCGCCTATCGGCAGTCCCATTCACATATATTTCTGTTTCCAGTGACTAGCAAACCTTCCGATATTTTATTTTTCAATTTAATTTTCTGTGGAGTTTCAACTTAGAGTTTCTGTAGAGTTATTTTAAAGCATAAAATGTCTGGATTCTATTTCTAGAAGCTTTAACTCATTCTTTAGACAGCCGTAAATATATTTCCAAGTTTAATTGCTCTCTGGGCTTCAGATAACATTTGATTTGTGATGCTCTGTTGGAACACATACACTCCGAATTTATTTTATAACATATGGAATTATAAATTTAACTAGTTTCAAAGTTTCAAATAAATAAAAAAAATCTTTTTTGTTTCAGTTGCCAACCAGTAAGGATATTGCAGGGTGTTCCACATCCCATTAACCTAATACCAATAGATGAATTTAAATGTATAGTATTGTGTATGCGAGAATTAAGAACATTCGATCTGAATTCTGGTAGTTTTTTAACCAAATTAAAGGGTGTCATGAACCAAAAGATGCCCTACTATGGGCTGCACGACCAATCCCATCTAGTGGCACTCAGTAGAAATAGGATGTACATAAATCTTATGAATTTAGAAAGTGGTAAGATTTGACATACGTTTTTAAAGAATCAAAGATTCGTGCATGTGATTTTATAAAATTTATATTTAGTACAAACGAAGATAAATGAGAAAACATATCCACATAAAATATCCATAATTTTTAGTTTCTTCACATTTTTTCTTTTCATCCATATTTTTTGGCCTCATTTATGTTTCTTTTTATTACTTTATCTAGCTCTTCAGACTCCTCTAGATGGTTTTATATTTTTGTCTTAATATTTGTTACACACTTTGTAGTTTGACTTTACATTAAACATCATTAGAGTATTGCATTGCAATGAATTGCAATAGTTATACTATAACAATTTTCAATAGAAGTTGACTCATCAACAAATTGAACTGAGAGCTAACGGCAAATCTGTTAAATGTCAGAAGAAAATTCTTACCGGCACTTACCGGAGTAATTTTTATTGTGTATGCTTTGCCAATGTAAATAAGTGAAAAGTAAGATGATTTCATAAAATTTTCCTGTGTAACAATATACCTTCTGTATACCGCTGCGATTCACGAGCGAATAGATAAACAAGTTTGTTGAATACTTTGAAATATCGGTAAACTTCATATCAACACTTCACTGGTCTATATATTTAGGTCCTTGGAAAGAGTGGGAATTCGATTTCTTATCATCAAGCGTCCATATCTTCATAGGCATGGTGTGTTCTGTTTCTGCTTCTTGTAAATATGACTTTGATTTATATTTATTAAATAGACTTTATTATATTCATTAACTTTAAAATACTTTTTGAAGTAAGTAAACAACAGACAAATGGCAGAATAATATGACTGATGTTGATTCTTCTTATAGCATTAAGATGGATGCTGAAGTAAAGCAGATTGTTTGTATAGTGTATGAAAATTTAAAAAATACACTCCGTACAGGGAAAGCTCTTGTAGCTTAGTGTTCATTTTTAATAGAAGTGTCCGTGTCGACAATTGAATGCATTGTATATATGTGAAAAAAGGTGACTAGGATTGTGGAAACTTAAAAAGTATATTGTCGTGGTAGAAAAAAAATTGAATTGGACGATAATTTAATAATTATATCGGTCTTAGATTTAATTTTTGCGTAATTAGTTATGTCTTTAAATAACTAATAAATAATTAAAATATTTGATTTTAGTAAGCCTTTGCAAAGTTGATAAGGGGAATATCGGTTAGTCGCTTTAAGTACGATGTTGCCAATGAGTCACCTTTAATTGAAAATTGTTATAGTATAGGTCAGGTTACTCGTGACGTCAGGACGCGTGTACTTAAATCGTTGATTCTGGTATTCTCACAAAGGACCCTTATGACGTCAGGCCGTGGGTGTCCTTCTTCGAGAATCATCTAAACTAAACACCAGTCATTGAACGCTAGTGCTGATGATCGATCGTAGGGATCAACTGACTGGCAAAAGAGTATCTTCTGGTCATCACGATGTATATGCAGTTTCTCACAATTATTTTTTTGTGTATAATGGAAAATTATTGACTGTACTTATTGCAATAACTCTTTTACAATTTTAGGTAATTGCGTTACCACATTCAAGGCTGGGGAGGACCGCTTTCTCAACTCCCTGCTGGTTTCAGGGGATGGGAGGTAATTAAATTAATCTCACATGTAATACAAGCCTAATTTAACTGTCGGTACTATTTTTAGAGTCCTTGTTTGTGGAGACGAAACGCAGAAGCCCTTTCCGTTGTTAGTGTGGAATTTAAAGTCTAGAAAATTATTATACGACCTTAGGATTCCTCATCATCATTTTATTACAGCGTTGTCTGCCATAACGTACGAAGGTGAGTGTATTTTTTTTTTTTTTTATTAACAAAATCGCATCAGCCAAATTGGCTATTAGCGAACAATATTTTTTATTACATTTATAATATTAGTTTATATAGAATTTAAACTATTAAGTGAGGTTAAGAAACTTTTTATGTTTGAAATATTGCACTGTAAACCTAAAATGTCACTTAGTTTGTTGGGTATACTGTACAATATGCGCTTTGGCGTTAATGCTGGACATTTTTCCAATATATGTTTGACTGTTATTTTTTCGTCACAGTTGTCACATCTTGGTTCTTGTTTGTTAGAGAACACGTAGCTATTCGTTAGTCGCGTATGACCCAGTCGAAGTCGCGTTAATATTACCTGGTCTCTTCGACTTGTTGGTAATGCCAGGGTTTAATCGATTTTTTTACATCGCGTATCTTTGCCGATGACACTTTCCACTTTTCATTCCACATATATCGCACTTTAAATTTAATCGTTGCTTTCACGTCCGCACTCGTAAATGTCTTAGTACATTCCGCACTATCACTTCTTGCAGCTTCTTTTGCAGCGTTGTCTGCCTCTTCATTTCCTGGAATTCCAATATGGGATGGTATCCAAAATAATATAATATTTTTCCATTCAGTTGAGCGGTGTGGATTTCTTCTTTTATCTTGATAACTAAAGGATTAGTTGAGTAGACATATTGGATTGACTGGACTGAACTTAGAGAGTCTGTGAGTATGATATAATTGGTAATATTGGATGCATTGACAGCAAGGGTAGCCTGGTATAGAGCATACAGTTCAGCAGAGTAAATGGAGTACTCTGAAGGGAGTTTATATTTATTTGTCGATGTTGGGGTTATGATTGCAGCACCAGTACCTTCATTTGATTTAGATGCATCTGTGTATATATGTGTATAGTCCTTGTAGTTGTGAAGCATATCGTTGAAGGCGGATTTGAATAACGTATTGTGTAATAATAAAGTGGGTTTGTTGAATGTTTGTCGAAAGAAATGAGGCGGATTAGGCACTGAGGATTATTTATTTGCCATGGAGGAATTAAGGACAATTGGGAAGAAAAGCATTCTGGGAGCGTGTAGTTTAGTTGATTTAAATAGCTTCTAATCCTTGCGTAGAAAGGTTTGGCAGTTCTTGGCTTATTTATAAAGAGATTTGGAAACTTTTCTGTAAAACAATTGTTAATGATAGGGTTTTTTTTGGGTTAGACCTGATTTTTGCGGCATATGCTACACTTAAATAAAGTCTTCTGTCTTCTAAGGACGGTTCACCAACTTCACAATAAAGACTTTCGATTGGTGTTGTGCGAAAAGCTCCAGATATTATGCGTAAAGATAGGTTGTGAAGACTGTCAAGTTTTTTTAGCAGTGTCTTAGTGGCTGTAGAATACACAGTAGATCCATAATCTAATTTTGATCTGATTAATGTTCTGTATAACATTAAAAGTGTTTGGCGATCCGCACCCCATTCTTTATTGGCCAGAGTTTTAAGAAGATTTAATCGCTTGTGACAAGATAAGATCAAATTTGTTATATGAAGTTTCCAGCTTAGATTTTCGTCAAATGTCATGCCCAAGAATTTTATTGACGTTACACGTTTTAGGTCCTCATCACATAGTCTTAGGTTAGGGATGTTTGTGACATTTTTCTTAGAAAACAGGATGAAACGAGTTTTTTCAATGGAAAAACAGAAACCTGTTTTTTGTGACCAGAGTTCTAAGTGTTTTATGAAGTTCTGTGTGTGATTAAATATGTTTTGTATATTTTTACCTTTGCAGAAAACTACAAGATCATCCGCGTAGACGCGTGCCTTTATAGGTGATTTTAGATTTATGAGAATATCATTCATTGCCACTATAAAGAGCGTAGGACTTATTACCGAGCCTTGAGGAATGCCATTTTCTGGATACATTATATCTGATGTTGTGTTGTTTCTTGTTTGTCCTAACTCTGAAAGCTCTATTTTGAAGGAAGTTTTTAATAAAGAAGAAACAGTGACCTTGAATATTCCAACGATGTAATTTTTTTAATATATAATCGTGCCAAGCTGTATCGAAAGCTCTTGATATGTCAAAGAAAACCGCTAGACATTTATTCCTTAGTGCGAATGCTTCAGAAATGTCACTTTCCAAATCTATGATATTATCTATGGTTGACCTTTGCTGTCTAAAACCACTTTGTTCTGGAATAATTAAATCTTGTCTCTCCAGGTGCCATCTTAGTCTATTATTAATAATTTTTTCTAGTAACTTACACATGGCGCATGTTAAAGCTATCGGTCGGTATGACTCGGAACTTGTTTTAATACTATTAGGTTTTTGTATAGGTATAACTGTGGATTCACGCCATTTTTCAGGAAATTTGTGCTGTAGCCAAATAATATTAAACAGATTTAAAAGTTGTTTGTGAGCGCTATCTGGAAGGTGTTTGATAAAAATACTAGGAATATCGTCCGGGCCAGCGCTAGTTTCTTTGAGATTTGATAATGCTTCTGTATACTCTAATTCAGAAATGGGTAAATTTAACGGTTCATCTGTATTAGGTATAACGCTAATTTTCTTATTTTCTTCTTGCTGTTTGTATTTAATGAAAGATTTTTTATAATTAATATTACTGGATCGGTTTTTGTATGTGTTAGCAAGGATTGTGGCAATCTCAGTGTTACTAGTAACTGCCTTTCCATTTACTTCGAGGCTTTTGATATTCTGATTACTATTCAATCCAGATATTCTTCGGACTTTGTTCCATACTTCAGTCATGGGAGTGTTTGCATTTAACGTTGATACATATTGAGTCCACGACTGGCGTTTGGCATTTCTAGTTGTCTTTTTGGCTATAGCACGTTGTTTTCTGTATTCAATTTTATTCTCAACAGTTTTGTAGCGCTTGTATTGGTTAAAAGCTCTTTTGCTAGATTCAACTGCTGCTTTGCATTCGTGATTCCACCATGGGACAGGATTGCGTTGTTTTATACATGTAGTCTTTCCTACTGCTTTTTCTGCTGCGTTTGTGATAATGGTAACAAGGTTCTTCAGTGTCTCGTCTATATTTGAGGTACTTTTAAGTGTGGTTATACTGCTATCGATTAAATTTGAAAAATGATTCCAGTTAGGGTGAGTGTATTATTCCCATTATCAACAAAATAAAGGGACATTACGTTTATAAGCTTATGGTACATAGCGCCGTCCTGTTGAAACCATATGTCGTTGGTGTCCTTATCATACAATTCGGACTAAGAAAAGTTAGTAATCATCAACCTACAGCGCTCGCCATTAAAAGTGATTGCCAACGTCGTCCCCAAAAAAATGGACCGATGACGCCATCAGCCAAAAATCCAAACAGTGACTTTTCATACTAAATTAGTCGTCTATGTAGAACAGCGTCAGTTTTAAAAATAGTCTGGCTTAGTAGATCAGTGAGCTAGTGCGCTGAGCTTTCCAGTGTACTTGGCAGCTAGTTTTAGATCAGATTTAATATAATATAAGCAAAAAAATTATCAGATTTACTCTAGTATAACTAATTTTATTTTTAGGTAACTACGTTTGTTGTGTTTGTTTTGAAATAGCGGAGCCGAATCCCAATTTTATTGTTGTGTATGATTTGCAAAGTGGTACATTGTTCAAGAAATGGAAGCCATCTTGCAATACGGTTTCCCTAGAAATAAGCTCACAAGGTGGCTGTGTCATATCTGGTCTCGAAGATGCAAGGATACTTGTTTGGGACCTTATTACTGGTAAGTTAAAATTATGATTCTATTATTATTTTTTAGACTAATTCATTTGCGAATAGTCTAAATAGTTTTATTATGACTCTATCACTCATTATTTCTCAGATTCCTTCATTCTCCTTGACGTCTTATTTCTCCGTTTTCCTCTAATTTTTCTGTAATATAGTTTAAAGCCTCTTTTAGATACAGTTCGTCTCTCTGCCATAAAAGTTGTTTTGAGTTTATTAATTTTTAATAAACGAAAATGTCTCCACCCAGATGAGATTCGAACTCACGACCTTTGGGTTTAAAGGTAGGCGCTCTTACCACTGAGCCACAGAGGAGGTTAAAATCCATAAATTAAAGTTCGAATTGTTGGAGTATCCACCATATTCATCAGATTTGGCCCCTAGAGACTTCCGTCTGTTTTAATACCTAGAAAATTTATCCGTGGGAAGTGTTTTAGTCAAATAATGAGATCATAACTGCTTTGGAAGCGTATTTTGCAGCTCTTCCAGATTCACACTTCAGGGATGGAATTTATAAATTGGAATCTTGTTGGAACAAGTGTATTAATGTTTACGGAGAGTATTCCAAATAATACAGCGGATTTCACACCATAAAATTGTGTTTTTGTTATAGAACCGCAAAAATAATTTAACAGCCCATTATATCTTGTTTTCTTTTATGATGCGGTTCTCTCTTTCAAAAAAGCTTATAATATAAATAAATGAGAGTTTAGTTTTATTACTAGTTTGTACTAATGTATAAAATTTTATTATTTAGGTAATTGTCGATGGTCATTAAGTGGACATACAGCACCAGTATCGTCATTAAAATTGGATCCTACGGGGGCATTTTGTCTTTCCAGGGACTCGGAATGTAGGGATAGATCTATTAGAATCTGGGATCTTAATAAAGGTAAGAATTTTATATTTATTTAAAAATTCAAATACAAAAACGAAAAACGTGAAGAATATTATGTGAAAAGGAAGATAGAACAAACCCAATATAATCTAATAAAAATGATCTCTCTCCAATGGCGCTACAACTCAAATCGAGCCTTGGCCTCCTTCAAACTATGCCTCCAGCCTTGCCGGTCCCGAACCGATCTTCTCCAGGTTTTCACGTTTAGCAAATTTTTGCTTGTCCGCCGCCACTTCATCCTCCTACCTTTTTCGTGACCTTCCTTTTGGTCTTGCGTCATGCATTTTACTATCTAGGGCTCCTTTTAATAACCTTTGGGTCTCCATTCTAACTATATGACCAGCCCATCTAAGTTTCTGAAGTTTAACGAATTCTGAGTTCGGTGCCTCTTTGAACAGTTGGTAGAGTTCATGGTTGTACCTGGATCTCCATATTCAATTTTTGTTAATAGGTCCAAATATGTTCCCATTTTTCTTTCTGAGATTTCCAGCTTTTTGTTTTTGTTTTCTGTCGTAACGCATGTTTAGCATCCATAACAATGCATCCGCAGATCATAATAAATAAGATAAGAAAGGGATCGAAGCGCTATTTGGAAGATAAATGACAAAGATAGCGAAGAACTGCATAGAGAATTAAAATATGAAAGATTTTATAGAAAATTAAACTTCACATGAACAAGAAAGAAAAAAAATCAGCTCACTGAAAGGACACAGATGGAACTTTATGAAGAAATAAGCAAGATATGATAAATAGAAAAGGGGGATTTTCCATTCCCGAAGAAAACTTCCGATATTTTTGGTGTTTCTTAGACCTTAGAACTTCAAGAGACTTTAACATATTATGATAGTAGTAGATAGTATGTTTGATATGGAAACTAGTCTATTTGCCACAGATTTTTGAATGAGTTATGTTATGTTTATGAATTAAAACTTGATTGTAACAAATTTATATTATATATCCGGATGCATATACATAAGTGATTACATATGAGTTCATATATTGATTTATGATCCGTGACAGTAGGTGGGTTATGTTTCCTGGAAGTTGCACATTACCTTTAACCAGGTTTTCATAAAATGTAGATGCGAGTGCTTTGTGTACTATCCTGTATGGATCTCCATCTACAGTGATTACTATTAAAGTCGCCACCGATTAAAACTCTGTCCAGATAAATTTTTCCAATTTTTGGATGGGACATATATTTTAGGAGGTTTGTAAACACGTAGCATTAATAATTTTACTTGTTTTAGAAAAACACCGCAAACCTTTACATTTGGATTATAATTTGTTTTTTATCTTATATCTGAAAAGAAAATGATGTTTGCAACTAAAACAGCAACGCTCCATAGCCGTCACATCGATCAACTCTAATATTACATATTTACAATAAGTAGTCAAATTGTTCTCTATTTATCTCAATACCCTACAAAAAACGTTTTTTGATTGAAGTAATAATGCGAGCAAGAATTGAAAGATTTTTATTACTGACTAACTTGATCGTTGTTCCTAAGCATGCTTCAAATTAGAAAATCGATAGGAGTAATGTCTGGCAACCTTGGAGGCCACAGTTCGTTTTCACGTCTACCGATTCATCCAGGAAAATGCTGTTTTAGTATAATCTAGCTTTATAATCGCGATCCTGACAGTAAATGCAAGAATAAAGAGGTCGTTTTAAAGTCTACTAGCATACCGACTTATCCTCAGCCGGCCGTGTTGCTAGGTGATGAACGCTGAACGTAGAAGAGAGCGGTGGAATTCACTCATGCGTCGTTTTCGAGGACGCCAGCTGAACTTATGTCCATCCTGTACATTGCTCCAATAATTTATTACACCTTCAGACAGCATAAACAAAGAATCTCTGGATTATTATAAATTTCATACGCACTAACATCATAAAATCTCTTATCTTAATCTACTTGTGAAATATATGAAATAATACCAAATATCAGAATACTAAAGTTGAGTTGTTTTGTACATTTTATGTTTTGATCTACTTCTTCTTTTAGCTCGATATCGATATGATTTAAATAATATAACCAGTATATTTGTTTTAGGTAATTTAGTAGCAGTTTACACGCCCAAAACAAAGATCTCCGCCTGCGAAATAACCTCCAGCGGCCGTTTTGTGGTGCTAGCATTGGACGGATGCAAAAAGCTGGTGACGCTCGAGCTAAAAGGTCCGGGTATCGGCGAAACACCCGAAAGCGAAACGTACGGCGAGGAAGAAAACGCGGGAAAAACGTTTGTGCTACCAGAAAACTGCTGACCAGAATAAAGGAATCTTAGTCCATAATTCTCAAATCTTTAACTTTTAGACTATTACTATAAGGATGAGAGACTTCAAATGGAAAGAGAATTTGAACCTCATCGGTTACTTAAAAGTTTTGTCTTAAAGAAACTTCCCGGTGTACAAATCTAAATAATACGTTTTAATAATCACTATAGTGAATAATCATTCGAACAGTTACTTGGGATTTGAAAGTCAACATAACAGGGGAAATTGATCAAACGATGTTGATTACTTTGTGTTCACTTGATTATTTGGTATAAAGATTAAATACTTTTATACAGTTAGAAAAGTCAGTTTTATCTATTTCAAAATCCCTTTCAATTATTAAAAATAAAACATTTATTTGACTTAAGCATTTGAAATTTTTTTATAAATAACTTAATATATTAGTTTTTAATTAAATACTGGATACCACTATTTATAAGTGGTCTATAGAACACAAAATTGAGATGATCTTTTCTCCAGTACCTGCATATTCCAAATTGTCGCCAAATTGCCAAACAATAGTATGTTCCTCTTACTACAAGGTCTCTCCTTTGTATAGTCAATTCTAAGTCGGCGATTAAGGTACGCGCTCACTTGACCGAACCGGCTGGCAACGTGACGCACTGCTAAAGCCCGGACGTACGTGTCGTAACGCACATTTACTGGCAGAATCACGTCAGCTCTCAGTGGAGTTACATATTTCCTGGAAGATGGATCAAAAAAATCTTATTTTCTGACCAACTTTACATAGTTGACGTGGAATTACATGAAATTGAAGCAAGGAAAGCAAATTTACTACTCAGTTCTTGAAGTAATAGAATTATGAGCACTATAATCCGTTTTAGATCCTTTTAGAAACCCAACCTGGTGAAACAGGCAGTTTTTGCTTCTGATCTGCGTTTACTTAGTTAATTATACTGCAGGAGTAGAAATTCAATCCATCCCTTCTAGGGATGATGATTTAGTAGTTGAAAAGACTATCCGTCAGAGTTCAGAGCAAAACTAGATCTGCGAGTACAACTGTCCGATAATATATCTAGTTTCAAGAATATTATGAATAAAATTAATGAAAAAATTTCTGTCTTCACATTAAATATTCACAAAATAAAGTATTTTTGTCTTAAGCCAAATATGATATATAAATATTTAAGTGATACATCAAAACTACTTAGATAGCTCCTATAAAGGTGTGGTTCCACCAAAAGGTTTATTATTTAGTGTCGGATAAGAGAAAAAACAGAAACCCCAATTCACACACGATATTAATTCGTTAGGGAACAAAAACTTTTCAATAATAAATTAGAGAGTAGCTTCTCAATATCCTAATTTCTTCTTACATAATTAATACATGAAGAAGTTGAGATTATCTCAACATAATAAGATGAGAAGTAGATATAACTGACTAAAAAGCCAATTCTATTTAAATTTTAGAGTGATCTGTGCTGGTTTCAGATCTAGTAGATATTTTATGTTTTAAGAAATTTATTTTTAAAATTATTTGTACAGATATTTTTGTCAATTGCCATCTGCTGGTTTCAGATATATATAAAAACATTTTTTAATAAAATGGCTAACTTACAGCTTAATCGGACTTTTTAGAATGATATTTTAAGTTATAATGCATTTTTCACTATTTATTTCATTATGTAATGTATAACTAAATCATTGAATAAAAGGAATGGGGTGGGAGGTAGCATTACACTTACGGGGGAATAAAAATATACAAGGTAAATCGTGTACAGAGTGAATTCGTTGTGCTTTCGACTTTAACAGCTTTTAAGACATCATTTTTACAAAGAATAAAGCTTTAAATTATTAAGCTTTTTGATAGATCACAAACTTTGTATTCTGCTGATTCAGTTGACAGAGTTATTCCAGACATTTTCCTCAATATGAACATCTTAGCGATCTAAATTTTATCATCCAATCTTCATTGCTTATAAGAAATACATATTATTCTTAAATATAATGCTACCTTCTGGTAACACATTGCAAAACGTCATGTTCAGTTTTTGTCAAATTAACAAAAAATATAAAACGTTTACTGAGACACTGAAATCGCGATACTAAAACACGAGGTAAAATACTTCATTTTATTTATTTATTAAATATTAAAATACTGGGTAATTCATAGTTTATACAACAAGTGGCCAGTGCGACTTGACACCAGTTGATTTTTGTTTGTTTGTGGTTAACTGAAAAAATGCGTGTACAGACCAACTGCAGTGAATTACTGTAGGAATGTTCAATTGTTCAGTGTAATGTGTTTTAAAGCTTTGTTAAAAATTACACTTTGAATATATTTCCTATAATTGTTAATTATTTTTTAAAATATTTGCCTGATTGCTGACATATGGATCGGAAACGTGGACCATTTCCAAGAGAGATGAAAACCTCTTGTTCATATTTTAACGAAGCATCCTGAGAGAAATATTCGGTTGCATTTGCAAAAACGGTATTTGGAGGAGGAGGTACAACAAGATTAAGATGGCCATGATATCAGATTTCAGCAAAACAGTTCTCCTAGTGGAAGAATAGTATAGTCGAAGATGCTAGAAAAATAGTTGCAACAAACTGGCAAATGGCAAGCAAAATAGGCTTGGAAAGGTCTAGTTTCTAATATAGGACTACAGTAGGGTAAACGGGTCCATAGTGGGACGCGGTCCATAGTGGGAATTTTACTCTTCTGACTATTTTATCATCGCCGTAGAGCTATATTTCAGTGTGTGTGCTATCATAAAAGTACCGCCTCCGAATCTCGTGTTAGTTTTACAAAATTAGTACTATGCGTTTCGATATTTTGGAAACTCAGGTGAATGATCAGCTGGAAATTTTATTTCCATGTTCAGATTTTTTTGAATAATTCGCCGAAATGTATCCTATTTAACTTGAATTTGGCATGGATATCTAAAACATACATAACTTCAATATCATCGTATTCTGTTTAAACCTAGCTCTACCACTTTGATCAAATTTTTGGTCATTTATATTTTGATGCGCCATGGTACATAGTGGAAATAAAAAAGCGGTCCATATTGGGATATGGTAACATATTGTGGTCTATGCTGAAATACACTAATACATGCTAAACGTCTTCATTCTTTACAAAATTGAATATGTCAAGACATCCAAGATCCCAACTGTCAGCAGTTTTCGATAAAAGCCTAGAGAATCATGAAGTATATGCAAGATATGTGCATTTTGTAGTAGAAGATGTAAAAAATCAAATGCCATTGATGAGTGCGTCCAAAAAGCATGGTGTAAGCAAGTCGGCTCTACAGCGCAAAGTGAAGAAATTCAAATTAGTTAATGAAGACAACACAAATGATTTTGAATATAAACGAATTTATGGTTCCACAACAATATCTACAAGTAGATAGGAACAGCTAATGTGCGAATACATAATTCAGGCTTGTGAAATGTGCTACGGCTTAACATTAATACATACTCATCAATTGGCTTATAGGTATGCCATTACTAACAATAAAACGCTGCCTTGAAATTGGCACGAAAAAAATAAGCTGGAAAGAAGTGTAATAACGAAATATCGATCCAGATATACAATTGTGCTGAGTCAAGTGTAAATGCCAGAAGTCTAATGAATTATGTAAATACCCTAAAAATTTTACAAACATTTGCATTGGTGATTTTATCGCTGCTCTAAATGGATAATGCTCCAATAATATTCTAATGCTAATCCACTGTATTACGGTAGTACTGGTCACAATGATTTTTTTTCAAACCCAATTAAATAGATCTACCGCTATTACTTCAGCCGTTTTGCAACAACGTGACAATGTGGCTTATATTAAATATGTGTTGTGGCCATCATATTTCCACAACTTCTTTTAAAACTATATTAGATTTGCTTTTTATCTTGCGTCTTTTTCTAACCATTGTCTTCTTCCAATTGTTCCCCCCAGTCTTCTTGCAATGCCATTTATCTTGATTTTTTCTATTCGCATATATTATTCAGAATTGTGAGAAAATTCTTCAAATTACATACAGAGCTAAAACAAAGCAGTTGGTAAGAACAAAAATGGACACTGGGAACAGTTTACAAAAAAGATGGAAAGCGACTTCGACGGTACACAAAAACAAATATGGAGATTTGTAAGAAACTAACGGAAATAAATGACAGATTTTAAGGAATAGAATAACATACCAGCAAGCGAATGGGAAAGACAGCCATAAATTCACTCAAAAATGGAACGTCACCAGGAGTAAACGGAATAACCAACGAGCTTCCAAAACACAGAAACTGCTTAACATTTGTCAGTAAATCGGAATATACGAATTTAAAAAAATCATAAAATAAATATGCAGAAAAAGCGTATAACTTTCTTTAATTTTTAACATAATAGTGGAAAATGAAAAAGGCCTGTAAAGACTTATTAAAGAGTTCGCTATTTATAATATTTTACAAAAATTTTAACATTATCAAAATGAATAATAGTCTGAAACTTTTTCTGAATTAGCTGCATTTTAACTGGATTTTAAAAATCTTATCAATCATATATATACGCATAGAAATTTTGCACAAAAATATGTTTATTATTTTAGTTATTAGTAGTCATCACGTCAGCGGATACAGAAAGCAAATATTTATGTATGACGGCTGATTGCATTTTACTAAGCCTAAAAGTATTTTTATAAAATTTGTATAAAAAAAATGTTTCATTCACATCATTGTTTTATATATCACGAAATTGTTTAACATTTATCATTGTATCACCACAAGTGGCTAAAGGATTGCAGTGTCAAAGTTTATACAAACATTACAAGAAGTAAAAAATTGTAAGGAAAGAAGGATATGATAAATTCTTCTAGATTGGTTGAAATATGCCAAATGTACATTGAAAATTGACTACAAAGGTTTTTAATAAATTTGTATGTGGAATATGTCAGTTAGAGAGGAAAAGGTTAGAAAATTTCTGCTTTTTCTGTTCCCTGTGTATTTAATTCGATTCCTAGACCTATGAAGTATAAGTTCTTTACTTTTTGAACTTCTCTCCAGGATTTTACCACGGACGTAAGCTGGATACATCCCAATAGGTATAGAATAGAAAAGAGAGAGTATAGAACCACATATTTATATAATACTTCATCCTGATCAGCTGATCCCAGGTTTCGATTTGAATCTCAAGACAAATAGAATCAGCTCTGGGTGGTGTAAATGTGCTGACATCCTACAGAAGTAAGGAGAGGCTCCATCTTAAGCTTATGGCTTTACCAAAGACAATCCATACAATACAGTGCCTCTGAATGCTCTCTAAAAGCATATCCAAGTCCATGACGGTACTTTGTTGAAGCACCACCAGAGGCAATAAACTGGATAGGCAGTATAATGAAGTTGTATAGGATGTTCATGTATTATGCCAAAAGAAAATAGGTCAACAGCATCAACATTATATAAAGAATAAGTAACAAACAATTATAACCAAAACTTTATATTACGAGAAAAGAAATCACATAAAAAACAAAGAGAAAATTCAAGATTTGTAGAAGGAAATCCAGACTGACTTATATATAAAACCATTATAAAGCAAAAGAGTTCATTTGTGTCAAAATTATCCTTTCTAGCGACGACTAAAGTAAAACATCAAATGACAGAAATATAAACTGAAGCATAACTGTTATTTTTTTTTTCCTAAATTTGCATAATCCTTTTTATATAAAGAAATAATTGAATGTTTCCTAAAATGTCAATTAAGTTTTGTCTAAAGCATTAGCACTATTGATATAGGCTCAGTAAGAAGCGATCAACCCTCACGTTAGTTGGCAAGACGATTTTTTTTATTGGACTGAAAAATTAATTAGATCCAACGGTGTTCATTATATTCATTCTATTATTTGTAACTGTAAAAAATATTCCCATCTGGTATGTGGAACAAAATTAATTCATTAAAATATTATATTTGTATGTTGTGAGACTTGTGTATAAATAAATGTATTAAACAATGCATTTGGATTTTTTCTTACCTAAAAAATATTTAATTATTTAAAATATTCCAGCTCTTTTAAAATTTGGACTTGGAACGTACAAAGCGTGTACAAAAATAGAAAGATCAACAAAATGCACAGCCCTGGGCCTCCGCAAGAAAGTCACAAATGGTCCACGACCACGACTTAATTGAATTTTTTTATTAATTTTTTAATGAAAATCGCTTATCGTGGGAAAACGTGTTGATATATGCACTATAGAGCCAAAACCAATTGGGAAAATGATAGCTGCCGTTACAAAGATAATAAATGTAGCTCTAAATTGAGTAACTATTGTGCCAAGCACTAGCAAATAAAAATATGCCATTCAAACGTGAGTTCAAAAAGGAACTGAAGCTAAGGGTATATCACAATGTTAAAATTTATGTATTTTTAGGTACAGTTATCGTCACTATTTCAAAACAAATCTTCAACTTCTGATTAGGTACGTGAACTTTAAACTTTCTGTAAAATAGTTTCGAAACACAATTCAGATTTCCGCTTTAATCTGTGCTTTCTAAAAATTGCAAAGCAAAACAGACGTTGATAAAGGTGTTAAAAGAGACGTGGGAAATCTAAAATTTGCATTCCACGACACGTCTTATCAACTAAGAAGAATTCCTTAGCCAATTGGTTTCTATTGGTGGAATGCAAATTTTAGATTCCCCCCGTCTCTTTTAACACCTTTATCAACGTCTGTTTTGCTTTGCAATTTTTAGAAAGCACAGATTAAAGCGGAAATCTGAATTTTTTTTCGAAACTATTTTACGGTTTTATTGTCAGATGTCGCTATTGCGTCCGTATTGAAGCCATTTTAGTGTTGCTTCTTAAAAGACAGAAAATATTGATCTTTCACGTTGAGAACACCTTTGAATAACTGTTCTGATGAGACCTATTAGGTCGAAATACGTATCAACAGATACAAAGGCGCTTTTTTGCGTGAAATCAAATATTTGCTGTCTTTTCACTTTCTTTAAACTTTCTATTTTAATGATATCTAGTTAAAATTTTCAAAGAAAGTAGTAAATTTTCCATAACTAACTACTTAAATGAATCCATGTCATAACTTACTTGGTAACCTGCCTAAAATTTGGTATTGTGTAATACTTTTTGAACATAGGTACAAAATAACTATACTTCATCTAATTTACTTACCGTTTCACGTCATCCGCATCACAGTCCGTGGGGTCACATGATACCAACACGAAATATTTAGTAAGTGTGTTCTTTTTTAGAATCACTTTGCCGAGTACACTGGCATTACAGCCACTAGATGTATTCTATTATATACGCGTAGAAATAATATTTAAAGATTTTTAATAATGTTAACTTAACGAAATACACAATAATATGTTTCATTTAATTTGTATAAATGCATTATAAAGCGTTTTTGTGAAGAACATTTGTTCGGAACACACGGTAACTGTAATCGAACGAAGGTGATATTTTGGCATAAGTTGGTAACACTTATTTGACAGTTGCGGTGTTGACACTTTTTGTACTTCACTATTTTGAATTTTAAAGTGAATACCTCTTGTTTTATATTTTTACCTATTTAATAAAATCTGTTCTTTTAGAGCAAAATTAGTGTGTTTTATTTCAAAAATGTCACGTAAGAATTTAAATAGCCGTTGTAAAGAGATAATACTTTTGCAATAATTATGTGACCTATTTGATTTAAAATAAAGTCAGAATTTTTTTACACTTTGGCAACTATGTCAACTTCGATCTCTCTTAATGATAATGATGTGCAATGGTAAGTAAATTAGATGAAGTATACGTAAATGATTAACTACTCCAGAAAGCTAATTTTAATCTTTAATTAATTGATTAATGTTCATTATCCATACTGTCGTAATTTTTCAATTAACTGTACCCAAAGATAAAATTACAGTTAAAATTTCTAAACTACGGATTTTGTTGATATTACAGTAACAAGTTGTCATTTTAGTATTGAGAAATTAGTTCGCTGTCAGTCAATAGATGGGAAAATAAAATCACATGTCATTTAATAGAGGGCAGCAGCGATGTATTAAATGCATCGAGCAAAAAGACAAAAGAGGTAATGTAAAGGCAGTAGGGGCAAAAATATTATTAGACAGGAAGTGTCATCTTTAGAGGCCACATTAAACAAGGAATGAGAGTCTTTCCTTGTCTAAGAAATAAAATTTAGTTGGGTTATGTTATTGTTTGTCCCAACTGTCACATAAAATCTTATTTATATTAAAGTGTTTTAAGAATTGTGTCATATTTTAGACTGTTATCGTTAATATGTATTTAAAGTTTCTCGTCTAAGACACATTCTGAAAACTATTTTATAGCTACTAAGTGTCGAAAATTTTAAATTTGGCGCATTCGCATTTCCGGATATGTCCGCCATCAGAGTCGACTTTTTTGGTCTCCTTTTCATAACGATTAGATTCCCTCTTTTGTCTTTTTGTTCGATGATTAAATGACGACAAATGCGCATTTGACGAATTTGAAAAAAATCTGCAAAACATTTAAAACAAGTTTTGTGATTATGCAGTAGCCATGGAAATACGAATCACGTGGTTTTGTTTAGCAAAGCGGCCCCTCCCAGTAAACATTTTGGCCTCATTTGACCTTCGATCATGACTATAATGTCACAGTGTCAATACAACTATACCATTTTTATCCCTATTACCGTGACATTATATAATCATGGTTGAGAGTCAAACAAGGCCCAAAATGTTTCGAAATGTTTACTGGGGGATTATACTGGTTTTTACATAATACATAAATTACATAATATGTTCTAGCATGTCACGTGGGGCTTATCTAAAAACAATTCCAGTTTGATTCACCTTTTTTAGAAATACTGTTCTTATAAATAAATAGTAACTCAATCTTCATTCACTTGAGAATTAGCCTAATCCCTTTTTTGATGATTATTTACTTGTATTTCAAACAATTGCAAATTTCTTTATCAGAATTTATATTTTTTTACTTTTTTACTTCTTTACTTTCTTTCTTATCTACAGAAAACCGAAACAAATCGTTATTTGTACACTTCATGACACAATTACCCATCCCAAAAGAATTCTGTAATAAATTCTTCCTTCATCTGGCTATTTCTAATTCAAAATCCGACAACTCCAAAGACTGACGTCCCCTTCTTCTAAAGTGTCATGTCGCAAGGTTGCGGAAGGAAAAATAAAACACAAATTTATTTTATAAACAATATATTCACAAACTATTAATCCAAAATAATTTCCTTTTAGTAGGTCTTCGTAAACATTGTCTACATTCTTCTTCAAACGTACTGTCAGCGAAAAATATGTGTTTTGACTTGGCTTTTGGCTGTTCCTTTTTGGGTGGGGGTACAGGAGGATTAAATGCCATTTCGGACATGTCAAAATCTATATACAATTGATCTGGTGCACTAAAATACAATATTAAAATATATAAACGCTAAACTAAACCAGGAAAACCTTTCAAAAGAGAATAGTCAAAATTTTTGTCATAAAAAATCTACTATTACATATATTTTAGAAGTTCTGAGCTTTTACCTCTTAGCATATTCCCCTGGGAGACTTCCTTCGCCGGTTGAGGGGGCCCCGCTTGCAATATTTCTACCAAATTTACTGACGATCGGGTGGTAATGTTTAGATAATAACATTAGCTCGTATAATGCGCTACTCGAAGCATTAGAATATTCTGGATCGTCAATTTCTGGATCATATTTTCCTTCTCCTGTCGACGGATCAAGGTCCAATAAAATATCGGTTGATCTATAAAGTAAAAGAAGATAAATAAACAAAAATATCTATTTATCATCATGCTGACGACATTTGCAACATACAACATTTTATTTTTCAAAATAATATTTTACTGGCTCTATTCACTAATTACAATAAAATAATGCTAGTTTTACATGCTGAGGCAAGCAGTTCCACGAGATATTTTATAGCGTAGACAATAAGACAGCTGTGCAGTGGTGTTGCAATATTAAACAATTTGGCAAGAATATTTTACATTTGAAATATTGTATTACTCACTTAAACATTAAATGAAATCTGCTTTTAAAAAGATTGGTTTATCTTTAAAACCGTAATTATGTCATCATTAAACGAAATCCGCACTGTGTGCTGATTCGTCAAATTTGACGTCCACTTCTACTGTATACAATTATATAACTGCTTAATTTTTTTTATTACAATATTACCATTTTTTGTCTTTTTTCAAATGTTTACTTACCTTGACAACTGCATTATGGTTTTTATTAAACTCAGACAACCTATTGATCCATCATGCGTTAATTGCAAACTCAATTGAGCCAATCTTTTAGTAAATCCCAACATTCTTTTACTTGTAATTTTCTTTCTCCTTCTTACCAATGCTTCGTTCAGAGTTTTTATCAAAATCAATGTACTGTCTGACTTTTTCGAAGAGGCATTAATCGTAAGTAATTCCTTATAGAGATTATTGTAAAATCTAAAACATTGAATTGGGAAACAAGAATATATTAATCCATGGACGTATAAATTATTAATCTGATCTCTCTATTAATATAAAACCATTTACCTGAGCGGGTCAAGATTTAAGGCTTCTCCTTGACCACCTAAAATAGCAAAGACTGTTTGAATACAATGCAACTGCTCCCTATATCCTAACCAATCTTCTTTTAGAAGATTATCCAAGACATTGACTATGTCTACATAATATTCTAAATTTATACAATGTGCGTACCTAAAAATTGTTTAGTATAATATTATGCACAACGTTGAAAAACTAACTCACTTTGCCAATCCTTCTAAACAAACACCCAAAATTTTTGTGTCGCTGGACGTCTTCAAGATCCGAAAATAGACATTGAATATTATTTTTGTTATTTCCGTCAAATTTTTTTGTTTAACTTGTTTATTTTCTTCGGCTTTGGTTTCCATAAGTTCCTTCTGAACCTCCTTCAACTTTTTCTTCCTCTAAAAAATTATAAAAAGCCTGTCAAGTTAATCAATCATATTTAAATTAGAGATTATTATTACTATTATATAACAAATGAGGGCAGAGGAGCGAACTCCTATTATACCCAAAAAACAAAGAAAAATATCCTTATAAAACTAATACCAATTATGAAGTTACAATTAAGTACATCGTACAAAAATTATGAAACAATAAATAAATAATGCGGTCCTAAAATAACACAATCCTATAAATAAAATAGAGCGCTATCAAGTGTTTAAAAATGTTAACACTAGTTGCTGATATGGTGTCTTGATCCAAATTGTTTCAGATATTAAATATTTTATTTGGCAAGAAGTTCACCCTGGACCTTGCAGTAGTTTGTTCCCTCTTTAATTTGTAAAGATGATCTCTCAATCTTTCATCTTGATTTAAAGTGATATGGTGTTTCCCAAAAATACGAAAGGACATAATTAGGTCCCTCGAAAACATCGCTGCTCGAATGTCTTGAGATGAGCCATGGATAGTCTATCTTCATAATTAGATATTACACGGCCGTATGCCAGTCTTGAATAGACTCATGATTCATGACCTCGCCGACAAGTTTTTTTCCTTTCCTAAATATAGGAGTGACCGAAGCCAATTTCCAGAACAAGGCACATTATTTGAGGAATGGTATCTTTAGGTTCATCTGTAAAAACCTGAGAAAAGAATAATGATCAATATTCCGAATATTCGTTATTCGAAGAACATAAAGACCTGTCAGCTTTTTGAAGTAATAGTATGGAGACTTTAGAAGATCTGTGAATGTACCGATAAACTTTTTTACTATTACAATTTGCAATCATAGATTCTTCAAATTCTGTTCTTGACTTTAGCAACAATTGTTTGACTCAGTTACAAAAATTACGGTTACAAAGATGGGTTGTCATTTTGTTCAGTTTAAAATAGGTCACTGATAAAAGTTATCGTTATCTAACAAATTAGTCCTAGTGCAGCGAATGTAGATAAAATTTTACTAAAATCTATACAGCAAAACGATTTTTCAATTAATATCAGTATATAGTCATCTTTCCACAATATTTTCGCCAAGGCTTTTCAGTAGTTTAGTACTCAATAACGGTCTTATGATTTTTCCTCACATCCTCACTTGGTCCTTCCCCTTTGTGAACAGCAATTGTGATTTTTGATATTTCTAGAATGCCCACCATGATCTGCTTATACCCATAAAGTATTGCAGTATGTGGAAATATTTTTTTTTAATTATGTTAAAAAGACAGAGGGTTAGAAAATACAGAAACATGAGATTGAGTGTAGGGAAGACATATTTTTCAATTTTTCTTTGTGGATGACCAAATCGTAATTCCGAAGATTAAGATAATATAAATTATATAATAAGAAAATTAAAAGAAGAAGTGTATGAAGCAGCAGATCTTACGATAAACATATATAACTGTGAATATCTGGTGGTTGGAAACAGAATATACAGTGAATACCAGGTGGTGAAATAGAAGATCTAATTTTTTTTAATCCAAAGTAGAATTAACAGGTAGAGCCTCTATCTGGACAGTAAATTCTCTTCTCTGGGACAGATCAATAAAAAAAGACACGAAAAACATATTCAGGAAAGCATAGTTGAAAGTATTTCCCTCTAAGTAAAGCTCCGAAGTTTGGAATGTATCAAAGGCTAACAAAAAGAAGCTTTTAGCAACATAAATGGATTTATGAAGAGGAGTTGTATGAAGATCAATATTAGAAAGAATTCGAAAGGAGCATATAAGTAATAAACATGAAATAGAAATAAACTTACCTTCCTTTCTTTTTTTGACATCTGCAATAATCTGGATTTATGTGACATCAACTTTTTCTGCTTCATATCTTGCTCTTTTTCTTGATCCAAATTAACATCTCTTAGGTTTAATACTAAGAACACTTCGAGCATATCTACATGCACATGCAAATGATTCTTCAAGTAATTATTTATAATTCTAAGAATCTAAAAAAATAATTATGTAAACAATATATGTACTATTATTAATAATAAATATCAGGAAAGTACTTAGAATATGAAAGTATCTATTATAGCATATTATTGGAATAAGTCTCTTAATATAAAATATATCATATACAATGGTTGGACCAAATGAATGAATTACATGACTATAATCTGTCTACCGAAAAGAAGGAGTAAAAAAATGCATGACCTGCACGTGATTGTTGAAAAGCGACAGTCAAATTACTTACTTCGCAGAAGTTGTATAGGTCAGTTATCGGTATTGTATGCAAGGGCGTACGTTAAGATATTTTGAAGAAATATTGTATGAAATATTGTGACTATCTACAGAACACTGATTAGACCCGTAGTAACCTATGGATGTGAAACTTGGGTATGACGAAAAAAGATGAAGCCCAACTCAGGACATTCGAGATAAAAATAATGAGGAAAGTATATGGCCCGGTACAAGAGGAAGATGGCACATGGAGAATCAGGAGAAACGACGAGGTTAATGAGTTAAATGAAGGTTATGACATTGTAAGATTTGTGAAAAGTCAAAGACTGTCATGGCTGGGACATGTGCAGAGACAAAACGATGCAAAAACAACAAAGAAAATGTTACAATGGAAGCCCATAGGAAGGCGAAAAAAAGGAAGGCCCAGAACGAGATGGTTGGATGACGTGGAAGACGACCTGAAAACAATGAACATAAGACAATGGAGAAGAAGGGCACAAGAGAGATCTGAATGGATGGACAAAGCCTGGCAGGCAAAGACCCATCCAGGGTTATGATGCCAAAAGAAGAAGAAGAAGAAGATTGTGCTTTGTATTGTGTTATTGTGTTAATTGTATTTATTTATAAAATATTGTGTATTGTACATTTTTGTGTTTTGTAAAGAAATTAGGTAAGTACATATACTAATACAGATATTGGTCAAAAAAGTATGGTGGATGTAATACGGAGTATAAATATGTGTAAATTATTTCTGAACCTTTATTTTTTTTAAATTGTCAGCAAAAAGTTGGTTATGTAATACCTAATGGCTGAAATGTTACAAAACATCCGATACTAATTCATAAGTTTTTAAATTAACATATTTTATCTCCGAGATAAAGTGGCATATTTTTTGGGAAATCTATTAATATATATAGACTTATTTTCAGAGGCAGAATAACTGGCAAAAGAAAAAGACAGCAATACTTAACAGCATGGCATAAGCTCTTACATCTTTAGGAAAGATAAAGGACAATGGAGAAAGAAGTATCTACTTGTCCTTGATCGAGCTTAATTCCTGTTAAAATTCGATTCTGTCAAGGAGAGAAAACACATAAAATAAGCACAAAAATATCAGAAATTTATAATATTAACGGGAATAGATAAATCAGTGGTTTATATTAGAAACTTGGCAAGTTTCTGAAGATCACAGAAAATGAGATTGAATGATTGCCTATGGTCAATTGCTGCCTGAAATTACTTCCAGTTTTATATTGCATTAAAAGGGTTTGCCATATTTGATTTGTGGTTAATCTCAGGAGCTTTGAGTAACCAAGGAGAGGAAGTTTGTATATTTGAGGGGAAGAGGTCAGGAATTTGGAAACAAAAATGTTCAATGCTCTAAACTAAACTTTACAAATAAGTAATTTTTAATTGTAATTTGAAAGTTTCCTCAACAAATAAATAGTTTTATTATTTATTTTTAATGTCCATAATATAATATAGTTACCTTCAAGGTTATTTCGTCTTTTTTATCTTCTTTAAACACTGTTTTAATGGATGTTTTAACCAGTTCTCTAACAGATTTGTCACGGTTATTTAAAAATGGAACTACAGCTTGTGCAATATTTTGTGAAAAGTTAAAATAAGGATGTGTAATTAATAATTCGCACATCGCTTGTATTGCCAATACTCCTAATGTTAATTCTTCCTAAAATACATATATTTTAAGATTGCTGCATTTGTCATTCAAATAATACTTACTTCTGATCTTTTGCGTGTATCTCCCCTTTTTTTAAACAACACTAAAGCATACTTTTCTAGTTTCTGTAGGAATTTTTTGTAATACAGCAGGAGATTTTCTTCATACTTCTGCAACTTTAATGTGTCCTTTTTCACTGAAATGTAAAATTTTATAAAATTTAATGTTATCATGAATGAAAATAATATATTTGAAGTAGTCAGGAACAAAACTTTTTCCATTTCTTGAAAAAATTAGGTAAACTACTGATTTAATTTAAGCTGAAGAATTTAATTTACAAAAAAAAACAAAATTATCACAAAGAAACCATTTTAAAATAGGATTTATTATTTACTTACATTTAACTCCATCTGGCATCAAATTTTTGATCTCATATGATGGTAAGATATCCTTGAACACTTCCAACAAGGATATAGTAATCAATTTTTTAACTGTTATGTAAAGTTGGGCAGCTTCTTCATCCATCAAGGACAGCAAGGTTCTTAAATTCAAGACCTTCTCCTCTGGATTTTCTAATAAACCAGAACTTAATGTTCCAATGTGAATTTTCATCTTGTTTATGACTTCATTTCTTTTTGCTAATAGTTGAGCTGCTGAAATTGGTTCACCTGCATCAAATTCTGTAGATTCGAGAGAGAAATTGTTTTCTTCAGCTTCAGCTTCTTCAGTTACCTCTTCTTCATTATTGATATCTGAAGCTTCATCTTGATCATCTGTATATATAAAAAAACATATTATATTTTGGAATTCAAAAGATATACACATGATTTAATTTTTTTACAAAATGTATTTATACATCTAAAAAGTAGTTGAATAAGTGTTTTCAATTATATTCAAAAACTACAATTGTAAAAATAAAAAAAAAACAATATAGTTAAGTACATCCAAATCTATCTGAAAGGTAATTTTTATGTTTTCACATACCTTGGATTGGTTCCAAAGTTTGCCTAGGAATAATACCACTTTTTGTCTTGATAGGTAGCAAATTCTTAACTTGTTTATCTGTTTCGCCCTCATCAAGTTGTGCTTCATATTGATTTTCTAAAGAATCATCATCATTTAGTTTCCTCTTCTTTGATTTTGGACCTTTTGATCTACAGTACATACAATTTTAGTGACTACATCATTGTAAATATGAAGATAATAGGGATAAAAGAATATGGTTAAAGTACTTGGAATAACACTTGGAGAAAGAAAGTTCTCAATCTAGAAATAGAATCCTCCCAGTGACCTGCAACTCATACCAATGTGATACAGTTATGTTCTGTCAGTTGGTTGAATTCTTTTAGGCATTCCCACTCTATCCTAGAGTCCATATTAGGGCTTCTAAGAGCCCCCAGCTGCTTGACTATCTGTGCATATATTGATCTGCACAATATGCAGATCAATATCAGTAGTTCAAGTCCATATGTTAATTTGTCTTACACAAATCAAGATTGCATAAATGTCTGCAACACACACGTATATTATTTTCTTAGTGGAATAGAAATATTTACATTTCCACCCCTACTGTATATTTTTACACCCAACCCTTCCGTAGTTTTGAAATCTGTCTTTGTATCAGGTACAAGACTGAGTTCTATATAGTGTGTTTCATTCATCCTACCTCTCCTGTGCGCCGTTGTCCAATTCAAAATGTAATTGAGGCATAGAACATTGTTATTTATTTACTATTTTATTCACTGATATTTACTAAGCATGTATTTATCTTCCGGAGATAAAAACCTGATAAAAAATGTAAGGTGAGATTTATCCCAAAGTGACTTAGACACTACAAAACTAGTAATAATTATACAGCACTGAACGCTCAGAATCAAAGAGACTTCAAGATAAATATGGTTAGGAAAAGATTAGTGCTTCACCAAGCAAAGAAGGGACAATAATTTATAAAGAACAGACTAGAGAACTTATCCTTCTAAAGCTATTTTCATGTGGCATCTTAAGAACATAGTAAAGCTTGAGTTGTGACTTACTTAGAAACTTTTATTTTATTAAATAAATTATAGGATCTGTTGGCAATAGCATTTTTGAGAAAACTAATGTCATCTTCATCTACCATCTGCAACAAATCCTCTCCTTGATCACTTTCCTCTGAGTTGTCTTCAACTGGCTTAGGTTTCTGAATTTTGGGGACTTCTTTTGGTTTGGGCTTTTTGGAAAATTTTTGTTTTTTGGGGCCATGTTTAACAAATTTGACATTTTTGTGACTTTTTTTACTTTTAGCTAAAGTTCCTTTCTAAAAAGTTGATTATAAAAATAATAAATATTTACTTTTAATGAAGTTCTTACCACAACCATTTTTATTTCAGTTTAAATTATTTATATCCATATAGAAAACAGGCACGTTTATGTTTATCTTGATAATAACCTCACTTTTTGTTTATATAACCTAACCTAAAACCTAAGTGGTGACTTTAACCACATAAAAAAGTAGCCACATAAGGAAACGATTCATGGACCTTGGAACGAATTTTACATTACGATTCAAGATTCTGTCCTATGAAAATTGGAACCGAAATACGCTTGTGTTGCCAATATACGGATAATTCAAGAGTCTATCGACTTGATGTTAATATTTTTGATTTTATTTATTTATTAATACATATATTTTATACTCATTTAAAATTAAATAAATATATTTTCTGTATCGTCTTATTTACGACTGAAGTTATATTACCATTAAAACACTTAGATGTATATAGAATTGCCTAAATCACAGCGATCTTTACGAGGTGTAAATCCAAAATATGAATTCGGGAATGGCTCGAAGAAACAAAATTTGAAGATTTCCCTGATAGAGACTATATAAACCAATTGCACCTTAGTTTTTGTTCCTCTTTAGTGTGATGTAGGCGTGGGGATTCGTAGTCGATATTTCTTGTTGTTTTCTATAAAATAATTGTGCTGTCGATTTTTGTTTGTTGTACTAGCGATTTAACGACCTTATTAGATCATAAGACTAATTATCTTATATACTAAAACGCTAAGCCCTTTTCTTGTCCACCACTTTACTCAAAAACCATATTAGATAATTAAAATATTTTTTCGGAATATTATTAGTATTACGTATGAGATTGTCAAGATATACTTTTGGTACAAGGTTTTGAGATGACCGGAAGTTTTAAATTTACTTTAAGTTTTAGACCCCACAATGTATATATGGATCAAAAGGTCTCGTCGAGACGAATCTAAATATGTACTTCCGGTTGCGATCCGACACCGGAAGTGACCCGAAACGCGCATAAAACGTCAAGATAGAGCAAACCTGACACCGGATTCGTAATCAGCATGCAAAATTAACTGCTAAATGATATTTATGTCGACATTTGATAGACTAAAAATTGCATTTCGGTTTTGAAGTCGACTTCCGGTTTGGTTTTTATTAAAAAAGCTTACGTAACTCCCGGTGCCAAGCAAAAGTTTTCAGAAAATGGAGACATTGTAACAAATAACATTGTTTTCGACGAAATATTTCGTGATATTTAATACACTTTTTACTTGCATTATTATTGATGAATGTTATGTATATTCTTGCTTATATTGTTTGTATTGATCTCTTAATTTTTCTCGCAAAATAGAAATTTCATTTAAAAAACTCGATGTCGAGTTGGTCCGCTAGTTGTTTATTTATTTTGATTGTGTAAAAAATGGGCGGTAATAGATCTGTCATATACGGTTGTAACAATAATTTTAACGAGTGTAAAAACTAAGGGCATGTCCGATATTTTTCAGTTTTCCAAAACAAAAGAATTTAGTGTCAAAAACTGTAATAGCGAAATTGGTTAACCCATTCAGAAGAGTCGATAATTTGAATCCTGATTCTAGTATAATATGCTGTTCGTTTTACAAACAATTACTATGAAAGAGATCTTTAAAATTAATTAGGTAAAATGCATTAAGCAATAAAATGCTCATAATTTTTTAACGTAACTTAATTTAGGTTTACCTACTAAACGTCTTTTGAAGAAAACTGCAGTTCCAACACTTTGTATAAACCACAGATTAACGTGTCTGTTAATCTGTGGTATAAACATACCTTTGACACACCCTTAGTATTTACTCGTAAAGGTAGATTAGATGTTAACAGAAAGCAACTTGTAGCCGAATTTATAAAAGTTGATTCAATTATTTTGAATAATGCATCATAAACATGCTATTACAGAATCTGAAATAGTTTTTGAACAAACTGGTAACAATATAGATTCAATGCTTGAAGTAGAAGAAAAATACAACGAATTATATAGTATGAAAAATTAATTGCTGATCATTCCAACTTAATGAAAAAGAGTCAAATGAAAAGTTTAAAAAGTCAGTTGAGGTACTATAAATCCAAAAGTATGAATGTTTAGAAAATTTAAAAGAATCTAAAACAGCTGAAAATTTGTTAAATAAAGTGTTAACCACTAAGCAAATTGTACTTCTCTCTGAAAAGAGTGTTTGTTGGAGTACAGAAGAAATATCTAGAGAAATTTATTTAAAAATCCTTTAATAAAAGTGTATTAAAGAACATTTTCGGAATTACTATTCCATCATCAGTGTTATCTGGATGTCAAGGAAAAATGGCCGACACGATTTGTTGGCGAAAAATATATGTCTATCTCTACAAATCACTTACGAAGCAGCTGTGCCATACATACATCTTTCATTTGGTTCTCGTACCACGATTTCGTGTGGAATAGTGTCAAATTAGAAAGCTGCTCACTAGTTTTTGGCTCAACGCGAATATTCTAATAATTTATTGAACTCGTTAGGTTAGTCTATTTTACCACTTGTTAAGTTAATATTATATTTCCAACAAAGCAGTAGTGTTGCTAAGAATGTGTTATACACTTGCGGTTAAGAAGTAAATGTTTTCTTTGAGCTGTGATTCCACTTACTAGCTTGTATGAGGGGTTTTATTTTATCAAAATTAGATCCTATAGCAACACACATTATAGTTCCATTCTGCAAAGAAGTTTTCTTCATTTACATCAAATCGAAAACGATATGATCCACGAGCTTTTGTGTCTATAATAGTAGTTATAGTACAGCACACTTCTCACACTTTCTCGCAAGGTTCGTGGTGGCCGGTATTCACATTTTTGTACATGATATAATAATCTCTGCTAGAAAATATTCAGTGGCAGAAATGCAATTTAACTGTTACTCACAAATTTTAAGGAATCAAAATGGAGGTAGCATAAAAAAAATTCGGTGCCCAACCAAAACCCCCCACAGGATAGCTAGGTTCTAGGTGCACCACCGCTAAGATAAAGTATTATTTCCTAATTTTTATATTAGTCATCAAAAATAATATTCGTTAACATATCAGTTACTGGGGAATAATTTCTTCTAAATGATCATCATCATTAATGGGGCTATAGCCCAATGAAAGAGCCCCTCAACCTTCCCAAGTCTATTACGCCAGGCAGTCCTATCCATTGCCAACCGTTGCCAGTTTGCTGCGCCTATCTTTCTACCATCCTCATCTACACCATCCTTCTATCTAAGTTTTGGCCTACCCCTTTTTCTACTTCCCACGGGTTGTGACATAAGGATTCTTCTAAATGATATGTGGTTATTTATGTACCAAGTCGGTAAAATAACTCATTATCGAACGATTGATATAACGAGCAGAGCGAGTAACAGAAGAGTTCGATAAGAGATCTTACCCACATGGTATATACAAAATTTTATCGCCAACCATAAAAACATTGTCCTATTTTGTGTAACTTTTTATTTCACGAGCATACAAAAATTTAATTAATAACTTTATTTTTGTACAATATTTTTAATAACTATAAGATAAAATATAGGTTCATTCAAATAAATAATCGATTACTGCCTTCGACCACTGACATTCAATTTCAGTCAACTTGATTAATATTTGTGGCAGATAAAGTCCTTCGAGTACAATAAATTACCTTACTGTCGCAAATTAGTACATTAATGAATGTCTTAAAAATGATGGTGGCCGACAAAATATAACTTTTTATGCAAATCGTAATAAATTGAATTTAACAAAATATAAGAGCACAGATCCATATTCAACTGAATACTGCACATTTTGATAACGCTAAGTACCAGTGTGCTATTTATTTAAAATAAAACTTAGAATGACGATTTTAAGGATTTTAACTTTTTCACATCTTCTTTTTTAGAATTTCGAACTTAAAAATAAAACTGTTCATAACTGCGGTTGATTAACAAACTCACATATCTGATAGTCTAAAAGTATTATTAAAAATAAATCTAATGTCTCAATGGTTTCAAGTTCTATGTCAGAGTCTTCAGCATAAGTTTCCATGAAACCGTTTACTTGTTCGAGAGCAGATTTCTGTCGGTTTTCTACAGTAAATACTTCAGTTCTATTAGCTATTTATTCAGAATCTTTAAATTTTACTTACCAATAATAGCAGGTTTAATAGCAGCCTCTTGCATATAACTTCAATAAACAATGCATTCCATTGATACTTTTCGAAAGGTTAATAAAAACACAGAAAATATTTAAAATCTTTATTCAAAATAATGTATTTTATGTAGTTCGTAGAAGTGGAGTAAAAAATATGTATTAATAAAACTTATGGTTTTAATTTCCATAAAATCAAAGTCATCAGAGTAACTGAAATTTATTTCATAAGAATACCCCACATTCATAATGGCGTCACAAGCCATGTTTTATTGTCTCCGACTAAGCTCTCGATGCCAAGCAAACCAAATTTTCTATATTACCTTTAAAGTTCATTTTACGTTCAACAGAAAATTAGATCTAAGTATGTACTAACTCCATAAACAAATTTTCTAAGATGACAAGTAAAATTATTTAAAAAAAAACGTTTTGTAGGGTATGTCCCGACGTTCATTTTAAAATAAGTTTTTCAACTAAAATATTTCGAAGTTCAAAAAAACTGATCATATAGAAAATTCGTTTCGTTTAGAATCCAGAATTATTAACCAAACATAAAAAACGGTGGCGTGACGTCAGAATAATACAGCGTATCAAATAAAAAAAAATAAATATATGAAAATAAGTGGTAAAGCATTTTTTAATACAGAGAAATAATATTTAAATTTTTTAAATTTGTGGACAGAAACCCTAAATTATTTTTCGGAACATAAAATTATTAATTTCGTATTTGGTAATATTTAAACTCGTGATCAGTTTGTGTAATCAAAATTTACTTTAAAGGTTTTAAGAAAATTGTTCCTTAATTTACTTATGAAATCTAAAGTCCTTCAGCTGGGTACCTTTCTGTATCCATGGTAGTTGAAAATTATTCCAGCTTATGTAATATTCTTTGCTGAACACGAATATGTAGATCCCCTATCTCAAAAAGTTGTACCAATTTTTATAAAGAATAGATAAATTTTCAAATTTAAATATTTTAAGTTACAACTAGTCAACTATAAAACTA